CAGGAGCTTCCTTCAAATCCTCTGTGCATCCTGATACCTTGTCAGACCCCTCACCGCCTCAGCTATCTCTTCCCACAGAGATAAGGCATAACTGTCTGCTCACAGTTCCTCCTCTCCTGACCTCCTGAACTCCTCCCGCCTTGCCCTGGCCATGCTCTTGTTCTTAGCTCCGTGTGCTTCCTCCCCGTGGCTCTCCATCAGCAAGCCATTCCAGCCCCCAGGGCCAGTCAGGCCTGGGAGACTTGGGTCAGTGTACCACCAGGAGGTTGGATCTGTAGTTTGCCCGCTGGAGACTGGATTTGGAACCCTGACGGCAGAGATGGGGTTTTGTCATATCCCCACACCTGGCATAGAAGGCAGGATTAGTAGACCTTTGGATTTGCCAAGCCATGTCCTCATTAAGCATGAACTGAACACCTACTGTGTATAAGACCATCTAGTGAGTTTAAAAAAAATGAAAGAACAAAGGAATGAATGAATTAAATGCCCAGGGACAGCATAGCACATGATAGCCCTGGATTCCATCCTAGTCCTTCCACTCCCACCTCTGAGACATGTGTCCAACCACTGAGCCTCTGCAGCCTCCGTTTCCCTGTCTATAACTGAGCTGATGGTCACCAGGCCCTTCCCAGGGTTAATGGATATTCCAGTCCAGAGCCTGGCACAGCAGGTGTTTGGTAAACCTGCTGTGTGTCCCATGTGTACCTGTAGCAGTCTGGAAGCTGGGCAAGAGCACCCTTCCCTCTTAGCTGCCTAAGCTGATCCTGCCTACCTCCCAGCAGCCCTCTTTTCCCCCTACCTTCAGGAGGCCCTAAGGTGGGCCCAGCACCCATTCCTGCCCCTCTTGCCCCCAGAACCATGTCAACCTCGTGCACCGGAAAGGGAAGACCAAAGTGTGCCCTCACCCTGGCTGTGGCAAGAAGTTCTATTTATCCAATCACCTGCGGCGACACATGATCATCCATTCAGGTCAGGCCCTGGGCCAGCTGGCAGGACCAGCTGGGGACACAGGCAGGGACCTGGGAGCCAGGGCTGGAGCAGCCAAGGTTAAACCCCAGCACTAGTGCCTCAGACACAGGACTACCCCTCTTGGAGCCTCCATGTGCTCAGTAAGCTGAACCATAGTGATACAGGTGGGCCAGGCAGGACCTGACTTTTCTGCTCAGGCCCTTGACAAGATTTCATGCAGGACTTCGGGGTGGAGCAGGGAGGGACAGTGAACCAACTTCTGATGAGTCCTCAGAATGCCTGCCATATCACAGTAGTTTTTTTTTTTTTTTTTAATCACTGCCCCCACCCTGAAAAACCCAAGTTGCTTAAAAAAATAAAAGCCAATATTTCAGAAATACTAAACACCAAAGGTGATACCACCATCTCTCCTCCAGGTGTGTCCTATAGCAGCACCCCAGGTCATAGATGGGAGCCAGTGGGGCCACCCAGGCCACAGGAGGGAGGAGAGTTGGGCAGAGTCTAGGACTGGAATTCCGGGTTTACCCCAGGGCAAGATTTGATACTTCTGTATGGCTGGGGAAGCTGGAGGGCACAGCTCTGAGGTTCAGAGCCCCCAATATTTTGAGAAGCCACAATTTTGGGTTTTTATGTGAAATTACCCAAAGTTCAAACACTGGGGACAAATTCAGATCCATCTTGACATTTTGCATCCTGTGCCCCTTAGAGACCAAAGTTTGAACCCCAGCTGTGCTTGGGCCTGTGACTGGGTGATGAGCTGCCACTTCATATCATTTGCTGTCATTATAGGTTGACATTTTTTGAGCCCTGGGAAGCCATGGGGTTGGGCCTGTCAGCACTGGGTGAAACCGGCTTGCCCCACCCCCTTCCCAGTGGCAGCATCCTCAGTCACATCTCTGCTGCCCCCAGGTGTCCGTGAGTTCACCTGCGAGACCTGTGGCAAGTCCTTCAAGAGGAAGAACCACCTGGAGGTTCACCGGCGCACACACACGGGTGAAACGCCCCTGCAGTGAGTGACAGGCTGTCCCCTAAAGGGTCTGGGAGGTTGGGGAGCCTACCTGGTGGCATCCACAGGCTTTCCCTCCATGCAGTTCCACCTGTGCTACCACCGGAACGGCACCTCCCCTTTCTGTAGGCTGCCAGCCCCCCTAGTCCCACCCGCTGACCCACCGGTTACTTACTTTTCGCCAGGTGTGAGATCTGCGGCTACCAGTGCAGGCAGCGCGCCTCGCTCAACTGGCACATGAAGAAGCACACGGCTGAGGTTCAATACAATTTCACGTGCGAGCGATGCGGGAAGCGCTTTGAGAAGCTTGACAGCGTCAAGTTCCACACGCTTAAAAGCCACCCGGACCATAAGCCTACCTGACATACTCGACCACTGACCGCCCCTATTTATTCGTCCACTCGGACATTGCACTCGGGCCTGTCTGGGCCTGGACAGCCGCGGGGCGCCCAGACCGCAGGCCGGAAGGAGGCGCCCCCACCCCCTCCCAGGGCTGGGCCCCCTGGGCAGGTCCCCACCCGCCCCAACCCCCTCTAGAGCTGGTGCCTGGGGCTGCGCTACCTGAACTATGTGTCGAGAGCAGAGAAAGATTAAAGTGCGAGAAGGGAGATGCCCTTCCCCTAGGTCTGGATGATTGAGGGGGCCCTCTCTCTCCAACCTACCTGGTCTCTTCCTGAGCAAGGCCGGGTTAGGGAGATGTCCCTACACACCCTAGAGGACCCTTTCCTTTGAGCCTCAGCTCCTACTCGTTCCCTGGGCCTGGGGGACCTTGGAGGTCACCAGGCATTTCCCAGGACTCAGAATCCTGGTGCCTCCTCCTAATGTCTATCATGGAACACTCATTCCCCATCCACCCTCAGGAGGAGCTGGGAACGTGTTTAGTAAACCCCCCAAATGAAATATGTACAGCTAGTGACAAGCGCCATGCAGAAAATGGAGTGATGTGTTGGTGTCCTGGCGTGCTGTTTAGGTGGGTGGTCGGGGAGGGCCTCCCTGAGAAGGTGGTAGTTGCCCATAGACTAGGAAGAAAACTAGGAGAGGTAAATATCAAGCCGGCCAATGCAAAGCTGCGGGGAATAACTCGCTCTGCTTGTTCCCAGATAAGATAACCACGGGGAAAAGGGAGTTGGCAGCAATTGGGTGCCTGCCTTGGCCCCATTTCCCTGAGGATGTTGCTGAAACCACCTCTGGGAGCAATGGGGAATGAAGCGTTGCCGCCAGGTGGCGCGCGAGCTGCGTAGGCCCTGGTGGCTGCCACCACGTGACTCAGGGGACGGCTGCTGCGAACCCGGGCACGTGCCCTTGGGAGCCCTGTGGCGCCACGCGCAGATTGGCCCCGGCTGGGCCGCACCTGTGCCTCAGTTTCTGCGTTGGACGCAGGTCTACTTTATCTTGGCACGGGAAGTGGCGAGGAAGAGCAAGTCCTGCTGAGGCTGCCCCCGCGAATCCTCTCACCCCCCTCAAACTAGTCCCCTTTTTTCTCCCTGTACGGCGGGAGCCAGCAGTTTCCATGGGAACCGCAATCGGGTCTATGCGCCCCGGAGTACCCCCATTGCCTGCACCGCTTCCGATCCGACAAGAGCCGAGAGGAACACTGGGTGGGAAAGCAGCCATCGCTTGGCGTCCCCAGCGTTGGCAGCCAAGTCGTCCCAGCAAGCCCAAGGGGACCTGCACTGCCACCACCCGGATTGCGCGGGCCACTGTGATTGGCCTGCCCTCTCCATCAGCGTGGCAGCACCCTCTGGTGCGCGCTCTCTCATTGGCTCAATCTCTAGGGCATCTTCCAACAATTGGTTCTCTCGAGGGCCATTCCTGATTGGTCAAATTAGGCTCTGCTTACTGATGGCATTCTGACAGTCTGGAGCCTAAAAGTGCATATACAAACAAGGAAAAGGTGGGGGCTGCGAATCTCCGGTACTGGGGTCTCTGCTACCTGCCAGCATCACCCTCGAAACAGCCGTGGGACCGCTGTCTGTGGTGCTGAAGTCTCGCTCGGAGGCTCCCTGCCCCACCCCAATGAAGGCTAGCTTCTGCACCTTGCTGCCGCCCCGACGTAAACACGCAAGTGTACCCACGCACCAAAGGAAGCGGTGCTACACACATTGCCTTAGAGAGAGGACAGGTCCCGCCTAGCTGAGGGAGCATAACTCCACAAGAGGACCAATCACAAGCCCAGAAAGCCAGGCCATTTACCTGGCAGAACCACCACTGGAGTTTTGTGAGATCTACAAAGGATCTTAGCATTTGAGTTGTAGAATTGTAGTTGTAGCGTTTTTGGCAGGCTCGAGGACTTGGGTTCAATCCCCAGCACCAAAAGAGGGAGAAGGAGGATCTGTGATTTCCTGGGGTCCAAATCTCTTCATCCTGGAATTCCCCAGCATTGGAGTGTGCCAGTGCCCACCTTTTGAACCCCAGAGGCACAAAACCCACTCAAAATCCACAGAGTCTTAGCTTCCTTCCGCGAACAGATTAGAGATACTCTAGTTACCAACACCACCATGGCCCTGACGTGGCTACCTGACCCCCCTCCAAATCTGGGGACCCAAGCCTCTGTTGAAATCTTGGTTCCTGGACCCTTTCAGGCCCCTCGGTGTACAGTGCCTCCGAAGGTCTTACATTAGAGTCACAATACCTCCGCTTTCTCTTTGCCCCTCCAGATCTAGGTGCTGGACGAAAGGGGTGCCCATACGGTCTCCCGGGCAGAAAAACTGCTTAAGAAAGGGTGCCGACGCAGGAAGCAGGGTCCGCGGGGGCAGGAGGACAAGATTCTGGCAACCCGAGTCTCCAGGATGCGCTTTTTGCAAGTGCTGAGTCCAGGCCAGCGAGCGTTCGTTTCCACCTGCCGCGCCGTCGGGCGCCGTGAGGAGGCGGGGCTCGGTGGCCCTGGCCAATAAGCGACGCCGGCGCTGGCAGCTGCTGCTATAAAGGGCTGGGGGCGGCGGCGGCGCGGCCCAAAGCGCGGAGCGCGCAGCGCGGGCCAGAGGGAGGGAGGGAGGGCGGGCGAGGGGAGAGGACTGAGCACCCGCGACCGGGCAGGCCGGACTGAGGGGTAGCGGCAAAAAGCAGAGCGCCGCGATCTCTGTCGGGAAGCGCAACCTCCCCGGGCCCCGCGGGGCCGCGCAGGGGGCGTCCTCAAGCCCTCGCCCGCTCCCTCTTTCCATCTTCTGCCGCCCGCAGGCCACCCCGGGGCCCGGTCATCCGCGCGCTCATCCTCGGGCTCGGGCCCGTCCCTGGCCCTCGAGGGAGCCGCCGCCTTCATCGCTGCCTCTGCAGCGGCCACACCAGAGGCCGCCCAGGCGGGAACCCGGCGTGAGCATCGGGCGCCCCCCTAGGAGTGCACGACCCCCGGAGCCGCCCTCAACACGGACCGCGCCCGCTGGGCACACAAGAATGGTCACTGTAGGTATTCTCCTGTCGCCAAGAGAGAACTGGGGTGGGAAGGGGTTGGGTCCAGGCACCATGGAGATGGCGGGGGTGGGGGGGTAGGACCAGGCCTAGTTAGGCCCGGGTGGGGGGGGGTAGGACCGCACCTCGGGCCTGAGAGTGGGCAGAGCCGCGCCCAGAGTGTTGGGGGTGCTCGGAGTCTGGCCTGAGAGACCTTGGGGAGCCAGGCTGCGACTCAGGGGGCGTCCTACGACACCCTGGAGGCGAGATTGCACCCTCTTCGGAAGGCCTGATGGGGGAGGGGCCGCGGTGGCAAAGGATGCTTCCTCCATTCAGGCTCAAGACCCCGCAGGCCTCCCAGGCAAATGCAGGGCCCCATCCCTAGTGTTGGGCCAGGCCAAGGCGGCAGAGCATCCCCAAGAGCCTTGGAGAAGCGGGTGGCGTCGGATCGCGCGTTCCGGGCCTTGGCCGCGCCCGAGAGGCGGGCGTCTCGTCCTCGAGCCCGTCGACCTTGCGGCAAGCGGGGAGGGGAGAGGAGGGGGCGCGCCCGGAGGCCCCGCGGGCCCGCCGCCGCTGCTGCCGCGTCCCTTTGTTTCTCGGCGCTTCTTCGCGGGCCGTAGCCTCGCGCGGGCGCCTCGGGCTGCGGGGAGGGGGAGGGGAAAGAAGGGACCGCGGTGTGTTGTGAGGGCGCTTCCCGGCTCCTGGACCCCAGCCTCCCGGGAGATGGGCTAGGGAGCTAAGCAACCCCCTCGGCCAGGTCCAAATGCCCCACCCCGCCAGGACTCTGGGCCTCGGGGTGACCTTGAGCGCGCCCGCCCGCCCGCGCCACTCGTTCCGCGCCTGATGCTTTCAGCAGCCACCGAGCTGGTCAGCTCCCGAGCGCCCAGCCCCGCCCGTCCGGCCACGCCCTGCCTGACCACGCCCTACCACGCCCATCTAGGTCCCGCCCCCTAGGGCCCCGGGGGGCCCGGCCTCGCCCTAGCCCTCAGATTTCCACTCGGCAGCCCGGGCGTGTCCCGGGGGCGGAGCTGGCCAGTTATAGTCCCACCCCAGCTCCACCCCCGCCCCTGCCGCGCGACTCCGCTCCCCGCGCCACCGCGCGTCCTTTGTCTGGTCCCGGCGCCCGGGCCTCCCTTTTACGCTCTTCCTATCTCTCGATCGCTGCGTGTGTGTCTCTGAACCCTATGTCTCTTTCTGGGCTCCTTTTTCGAGTCATGGCCAGCACAGTGGATGTGGGGATGTTCAGCATTCCCTCCCTACCCGGGCCTCTCCGCTCTTGGACCCTGGTATCCGCCCACCTGTCTCTGAGAAACTCAAGCCTGGCTGGCCTGCTGTGTGTCCTAAGGCTGGTTCCTTCCCCTTTCTGGGCCTTATGCTGTTTCCCCATTAGAAAAAGGGAAACTAATGCACAAAGGAGAAGAGGGTGTGGTCAGAGGTCACCCAAGGGCCTGGAAGCTTTTGGAGGCCTGGGCACACCAATGGGGATACTCTAAGGCAGAGACATTCTAGGGTCCCGCTGGGAGAAGTGAGAGAATGAATTGAGACAGTGAGTGCCCAGCATGAAGGAGCAGGGCCTAGAAGTAGGAGGCTCAGTTGGCACCACGTGGTGGCCCAGCCTTACCGTGTGTGGCCACTCAATGCCCTATTGTCGCCAGTATCTTGGCATCTGTCACTGACTGGGGCCCTAGGATACAGCTGGGGGCCAAAGGGGCTGGAAGCAGGAGGGTCTCTAAAGAGTGGTCTCAGGTGTGCTCATGGCAAATCCTTATATCACATGGATGGTGCAATAGTGGGAGAGTTGGAAAGAGTGACACAAAGAGGGGAGGGGGCAAAGAAGGGTTTGTAGTGGGGGCAGTGGAGAAGAGAGAAATGGAGAGGAAAGGGGGAGAGAAACCAAAGGAAGGAGAAACTCAGAGGCAGAGGCAGAGCAGGAGAGGCTGGAAAGGAAGGTCCCCTCCATGTCAACCTCTCCTCTCTGTCTTTGACCTGCCCTCTCCCTTCTAACCTCACCCCCATTTTCTGATGTGGACCAGTCCTAGATGTACATGCTACCGTCATCCCAGGCCACAGATCACTGGGGGAGGGGGGAGGAGGAGGGGTGTGGCCTCCACCTATCTGATCCCCATTATCAGCTCAGCTGGCTCAGCTGCTGAGAAGGAAATGTGACACTGGCCCTGCTAAGCTGTCACAGCTGGGAGGGAGCAGGAGTGGTGGTGAGCTTAGTGGGCTAGGCCTCAAGGCCCTGGGCTGACCCTCCCTGTCCATTCCTAAGTCATCCAAGTTGGGAACACCAGTGGTGGTGACAGCCTCCTGTAACCCTGTAGACTGTGCAATCATCAGATCAGGAGTCAAATGCTGACTCCATCACCTCCATCTCTTCCCGTCACCCTTGGTGAGTCACAGGTCCCTGTAACTGACCCTCATTTCTCCATCTGAAAAATGGAGTAGACAGTCTCCACCTTTCAGTGTGGTTGTGGGAAGTCCATGAAAACTGCACATGGTCAGTACCTGGCACACAGGAGGACTTCAAAACCTGGGATCTGGGGTACCAGAAGCAGCAGCTTATATACTACAGATTGCCCACTGGAACGCCACAGCAAATACCATCAACCTATCAGAGAACTTCACCTTGCTGAGCCTGGATGGGACTTCAGAATGCGTCTCCACTCGTGGAGATGCTATACCTTCCTTGGAGGGACAGAGGCCCAGAAAAGTGACATGACCATAAAGGCAACAGTAAAGAGGGTGGAGCTAGCAGCTGGCACACAGCATCCCTCAGCAAATCTTTATCGAATGAGTAGATTTCATCAACAGAGTGCATTTATTTAATAGCAGTGCCCAGGAGCTGGCATGGCAGCTCAGTGCTAGAGTACAGGTCTAGCATTCAGAAAAGTCCTGGGTTCAATCCCCAGCACTGCAGAAAATAAAATAAATAAAAGACAATGCTCAGGGCATGGCATACAGTAGGTGCTCAGTTTTGTGTCACTGTTATTTTTATTATTAGCCTTTGTGTTCAGAGTGAGCTCTGGGGTCCAAAACCCGGCTCTGAATTTATGGTCCACCGCTTCCATCCTGTGCAAGCCCCTGAGACTCACAGAGTTTTGGTTTTCACTTGGGTCGATTGGGGAAAGGAGAATGTTCAGTTTGGGGAGAATTGACTAGGAAGTTTTGCATGAAAAAAAAAAAAAATCTTGTCCGGCAGGCTCTCACTCCATGACTCTGCTCTAGAAGAGCAGTGAGCTCAGGCTGTGGAGTGGGCTGCTTCACAGCCCAAGCCCATGGCAGACATCGCGAACCAACCAATGCACGTTCTTTTTGAGCCTGGATATGCCTTCCTAGTACTCTTCCAGGCAGTTGCCCTGAGTTGACTGGAGATATAGGGAAGTTGACCATCTGTGTTATCCTTTTGTTTTTTTCTTTTGTGCTGGGGATGAAACCCAGGCTGTCACACAGGCTAAGCAGGCACGCTACCGCTGAGCTACCTCCCCAGCCCTGTGGCATCCTTTTCATAAGAGTGAATGAGCTAGGTGTCATAGCCCATGCCTATAATCCCAGCAACTTGGGAGGCTGAGGCAAGACGATTGCAGATTCAAATCTAGCCTCAGCAACTTAGCAAGACTGTCTCAAAATAAAGAATAAAACAGGCTGGGGATGTGGCTCAGTGGTTAACATCCCTGGGGTCCAATTCCTGGTACAAAAAAAAAGAGTGAATGAGCTGGGTGCGGTGGCACACATCTGTAATCCCAGTGACTCAGGAGGCTGAGGCAGGAAAATCACCATTTTGAGGGCAACCTCGGTAACTCAGTGAGACCCTGTTTCTAAAAGTAAATAGAGCTGGGGATGGAGCTCAGTGGTAGAGTGCCCCTGGGTTCAATCCCCAGTTTGACGCCCCTACCAAAAAAATGAGTAAATGGGAGCCAGATGCTGTGGTTTGTGCCTATAGTTCAGCTACTCTGGAGGTTGAGGCAGGAGAATCGCTTGAGCCCATGAGTTCAAGAGCGACCCCAAGGCATGGCCATAGTGTTGTAAAACAGCTCTGGAGTTTAACAGGTCCAGGTTTGAAATCGAGTTCCCCATTCCTATCGCCTAATCTCTGTATGCTCAGTTTCCTTATCTGTAAAATGGCAACTGTGTCTCCTGTCTTTCAAGATTGTTGGAAAATAAATGAAAGGATACCTCAACGTCCTTTCCTCAGTGCCTGGCACATGGTAGACACTCCGTGAAGTGGAATGATAACCAATAACAGTATAAGGAGGCAGAGATGGTGGACATGACAAACCTGCTTACGTTTTCGATGATTACGCCCATGGCAGACACAATCCCAGAATGCTTTCCAGCTGTCCCCACATGTAACTTTAGATCCTTCTGCTGCCACCATGCTTGGAATTTGGAGTTTGCAGCAGACTGGAGCTGAGATCTAGAAATATTAAGTGGCATATCTGAGAATACACAGCTGGGAAATGTTAGAGCTGACACCAGTCTTGGTTGTCAGTGGAAGTTGGAAATACAGACTTCAGATCGGGGAAACTCTTATGAAAACCCCTTGTCCACCATTTATACTCTGCTTGATCTTTGGGATTTTAAAACTGTCTGTTAACCTTAGTTTCCTCCTGTGTTAGAGTAGAGAGGGAATCTCCTCAGGATTATGAATAAGAAAAGAAAATTTTTGCAGGTAGAGTGTTTTGCACAGTGCTTGCCACACAGGAGTGCCCAGTATTTGGGGACAATTATGGTATTGCCTCTTGAGCCAGGGATGGCTGAGGTGATGTGTTCCTGCTGTTGTTTCTATTTCTGTGGCAACAGCAGACATTGCTGAGGAATCACAGCTGCCTTTTCTGCTGAAATTGTATATGACTTCTGAATCTTTTAAAATTAATTCCTCTAAGAAGTCCTGACCAATCAGTTTGATTTTATTTTGTTTTGGCGCTGGTGATTGAACCAACTTGAGTTTTCAAGTGAGGAAAAACTATTTGCCAACTGTGCCATAGGAGATGTAAGTAAATATTGGCTACTTTACCTTCCTGTGTACATGATAGACAGTACCAATCGCTCCCAGCACTATTTCCTACAGATGCCACTTTAAAATTCTCCGTATGGCTCTTCAGAGAGCCATTATCAATTATTTTGTTTGCTGCAAGGTAAACAGAGTCTCAAGAGGATAAGGGACATATTCAAGGGCATACAATGAGTTGTCAGAGCCAATACTAACTCGGTTGATTGGCATATGCCATAGTAGGAGAATGGCAGAATGGTCTCAAGTCTAGAGAGGTCTGCATATTTGTTACAGTGCTACTAAAATGTTGAGATGCTGTGTGACTTCAGCAATTTCTGTAACATTTCTAGTCTCAGCTTCCTCATCTATCCAAAAAAATAATAATATCTACATTTGAGAGAATTTGGTGTATATTACATATAAAATAGCATTTCAGTATTTTTAGTTAAAAAATACTAAATAAAGAACTCTGCAAAACTTTGACAAACTGGGAGTATAGCTCAGTGGTAGAATGCTTGGATAGCATCACAATAACCCTGGGTTTGATCCCTAGCACAACCAAAAAGAAAAAAAGAAAACCAAATCAAGTAAATTTCATTTATCCTAGATTGGTTTAATATTGGAAAATCAATTGACATAATTTGAGGTATTAATACATTAAAGCTAAAAAGTCACATTTCAATATAGAAAAATTCAATAAAATTCAACATCTATTCCTTCAAAACAATCTTGTTAGGATATTAGAACAAAAGAACAAAATTTTCTTTGTGTGCAGTGCTGGGAATAGGCCTTGCCCAAGGTAGGCAAGTGTTCTACCACTGAGATACACCTGCAGCCCTGAAGAAAATATTCTTAATCAAGCTGGGAGCCGGGGTGCACACTTGTAATCGACTCAGGAGGCTGAGATAGGAAGATTGCAAGGTGCAGATCAGCTTCAACAACTTTACAAAACCCTGTCTCAAAAATAATAAAAAAGGACTGTGGGTGTGGCTCAGTAGTTAAGCATCCCTGGGTTAAATCCCCAGTTTAAAAAAAAAAAAAAAAATTCGGGGCTGGGATTGTGGCTCAGCCATAGAGCGCTTGCCTAGCACTGGCAGGACCCGGGTTGGATCCTCAGCACCACATAAAAATAAAGGCATTTTTACACCTAAAAATAAATTTTTTTAAAAAATTCAAGCTGGGGATATAGCTCAGTTGGTAGAGTGCTTGCCTCCCATGCACAAGGCCCTGGTTTCAATCCCCAGCAACACACACACACACACACACACACCAAAAAAGAAAAAAAAATTATCCAGATAAAAGTCATCTAGAAAAAAATCCATAGCAAAGATTATGTTTAGCCATGAAATGTTTAAAGTATTTCTCCTACTTCTTTTTGGTATTTTTTATTTGTTTGTTCCATTTATCTTTTTTGTTTTTGTTCTTTTCTCTTTCTTTCTTTTTAAAGCATTTCATTTTACATCAGTAATAAGGGAGCCATTATCACACTGTAGCCCCTGCAATAAGACAAGAAAAATAACAGGTATAGACTGGAGATGAAGAAATAAAACGGTCATTATTTGTAGGTGCTCTATGTTATACCAGAAACAAATGATAACAAAATCCCAAAACCCAAAACAGCTCAGTGAAAGAACTATGGGAGTAAATACCTAATAAAACAATTCTGCATAAAGCAAAGGAAATATTAACACATTTGGAATCAAAATTATCTTTGGCAGGAAGAGGAAAATAAACATCTTGGAGGGGCTTATGAGGCCTTCAATGCTCTAAAAATATTAAATTTCTTATTCTGAAAAGTATTCATTTCGTTCTGAAAATGCACAGATTGATTTTGGGAATGTTTGTGTATATATAGTATATTTGCCTGTTTGCTGTTGCTATAAGCAAAATACCTGAGGCTGGATACTTATAAAAAAAAGAAGCTTACAGTTTTGGAGGCTGAAAATCCAAGAATGGGTAGGCCCATCTGTTCAGCCTCTGGTGAGGACCCTCTTGGCTGGGTCACAACATGACAGAGAAGCAGAAAGGGAAACAGCTATGTATACGAGAGGCCAAGTGCATGGGTTTATAGCATTGCTTTCTTGCAAACCCCTCATGCTTCAACATGTTGGAGGGTTCAGTCTGCAGCACTGAACCCTAAAACAAACCACTTTTGAGAGAACTAACTAGGGGCCCTTGAGAATAGCATTAATCCTTTCCAAAGGTGATGCCCCCAGTGACCTAATTACCTCCCACTAGGCCCCACCCCTTAAAGGTCCCTCCCCCAACACTGCCACACCAAAAACCAAACCTCAGCATATGAACCTTTGAGGGACACGGTCTGACCTTATCCAAGCCATAGTATGTGACATTTATTTACTCAGTGATGCTGGGGGTGGGGCCCAGGGCCTTGTGCATGCTGGGCAAGTGCTCCACCACCGAGCTGTGTCCCCAGAACACAGATGGTATCCATGAGATTTCTCACAGTAAAATCACATCAGGAGGGTTTTTTGTTTTCATTTTTCCCCCAGTGCTTTTTCCAGTAAATACAAGGAATTATTAAGAGAAAAGTGCTGTCAGGCTGGGGTTATGCCTCAGCGGTAGAGCACTTGCCTAGCATGTGTGAGGCACTGAGTTCGATCCTCAGCACCTCATATACATAAATAAATAAATAAAAATAGAGGTATTGTGTCCAACTACAACTAAAACAAACAAAACAAAAAAGAATAATGTGTTGGGAGCTGGAGTTGGGCCCAGTGGTGCGCAGCTGTAACCTAGCTACTTGGAAGGCTGAGATAGAGGGGTCACAAGTTCGGAGCCAGCCTCAGCAACTTCGTGAGGGCCTTTGCTATCTCAAAATAAAATTTAAAAAGGGCTGGGGGAGCAGCTCAGTGGTAGAGTGCTTGCCTTGCTTGTGGGGTCAGTCCCTAGTACTGTGCGCGTGCGTACACACACACACAAGCAAATAATACGTTGTCCCTTGGCTGTAATCAAGTCCCCTCAGACATGGCTGACCATGACCACTGAGCCCCTCCGTGTCCCTGCTGGCCCCTGGTGTGGGGACAGGGCGGTGAGCCGGTGTGACCTGTTGTCTCCAGCAGATACTGGGGGCCATGGAGTCTCAGGTGGGGGGGGGCCCGGCCGGCCCGGCCCTGCCCAACGGGCCACTCCTTGGTACAAACGGAGCCACTGATGACAGCAAGACCAACCTCATCGTCAACTACTTGCCCCAGAACATGACCCAGGATGAGTTCAAGAGTCTCTTCGGCAGCATTGGTGACATCGAGTCCTGCAAGTTGGTTCGGGACAAGATCACAGGTGTGGCTCCTAGCAGGTGGGAGGGTGGGAGGCGGGAGGAGAGAGGTGTGAAGGGACAGGTTTTACCCTAGGAGGAGTGGGGGCCAGTGGGGGACAGGGAAAGGTGGTTTGGGGTGGGGAGGGTCAGCCTCTCAGGCCTAAGCTTGAGGGGACACTGGCAAACCCCAGCATTGGGCAGGAAGGTCATTACCCTGGTCCTGCCACAGGGCAGAGCCTCGGCTACGGGTTTGTGAACTATTCTGACCCCAACGATGCAGACAAAGCCATCAACACCCTCAACGGCCTCAAATTGCAGACGAAGACCATCAAGGTCAGTGTCTTTATTCTCACCAGCCGACAGTCACCGCCCCTCCCGTGTTCTCCCGTTGCCCACCCTCCATCCCCAAGGGGCCAGGCCTGAGTCTCTCCTTCCTGATTGGCTCACTGGCGAAGCCTTGGCTTCTCTGAGCCTCAGTTTCTGTACCTGTTAATGGGGAGAGTATAAGCCCTGCCTTCTCTGGAGGCTGGGGAAGTGAGCCAGGCCTGGAGGTGGGGCAGGGTAACCAGGGTCCTCTGGGCAGCCCCCTCCCTGTCTTTGTCCTGGAAATGGGGGTGGGGGCCCATCTGCCATCTGGGGCCTAATTAGGGTCTGGGAGGGTGGGATTATGGAAAGCCCTTCCCCCACCTTTGTGTGATGCCCCTCCCCCATGGCCTCCACTCTCAGCAGCTGCAGCTGGGACCCTACCAGCCCAGGTTCCCTTGGGGGGGAATCACCATGGAAACCCTTCTCCAAGTCCGCCTGGGGGTGTGTGGGCTCCGCCCTGCAAATCTGCTCCTGGACCCTGGGGGAGGTGGGTGGGGGCTGCCCATCTGGCCCCCAGTTTGCCAGGGGAACAGAGGTACAGGAATCTCTTGCCCTCCCTCACTGGGGGGCTGGGGAGATGAGGTCGTGACCCAAAGGGCCTCTCCATGGCCAACTGGCTTAGAGGTCCCTGGGGGCATGAGGGTGGACCCTAGTGACTGACTGTGTTTGTACACGTCTGTGAGTGTCACCCGGAGCCATGAAACAGGTTAGTGATGTGGTGGTTGTGACATGGTATCAGTCAAGTGGCTGCCATCATTGGTCTGAGTGGTGAAGACCTGCAGTGGTCCCCGTGGGTCTGTAGATCTGGTGTTATTGTGACAGGTGCTTAGTGACATACTGCAGCTCCCACAGTGACCCGGTAGGGCACCACGGGTGTCTGTCATGGTGACATTGTGTGGGTGTGTCTACCTGTGCCCTGTGTTGGGGTAGAAAGCGTGCAACATCGTGTGCTTGTACGGTGGGCGACTGGCATGTCATTCGTCGACTCTTACTGTAGTTCGTGAAGCCTCCTGTGTCATCATGAATATGGGGATGGCCTTGTGACAGTCTCCTGCTGGCTTGTCCCTGTGCCATGCAGGGCGGTGCTTCTTGGCCTCCTGTGGGTCCCTGTGTGTGTCCCTGCCTGCGTGACAATCCTGTGAACTTGGGTCTGACTGGTCGCACCGGAAGACTTGGACCAAAGTGTTTTGAGTGCCTCATGTGCCAGGTCCCATCCTGGGAGGACTTTGGCCCACCTCTGCCTGCCCTCGGGGAGCCCAGGCCGTAGAGACTAGGAAGGCCCATCAGACCTATTTTGTGCCTCAGAGAATCCCAGACCCCAGCACCTACCCTGAAGCTCAAGCCCCTCTTCTCCCCTCAAATCTGATCCATGAGTTAACCCTCCCTCGCCCTTCAAAGCTCCCAGCCCTGCGGGAGAGAGAGAAAACCCTCAAATTCGTGGCTGTGATTTTTCAGTTTTTATTTATTATTTGCCTATTTATTTGCAGTGCTGCAGGTGGAACCCAGGGCCTCTCACAAGCTAGGCCAGCGCTCTGCCACCGAGCCACAGCCCCAGCTCCACAACTATGACTTTAAAAGTTACTCTTGTAGAAATGACAGTGGCCCATGTGTCTGTTGCTAGAGGACCCCAGGTGCATGCAATTGCAATAATCAGAATCCAGCCCCTCGGCCCACCCGCACCCTCCTGCACCCAAACTCATTTCATTTGTTTTTTGTTTGTTTGTTCTTACGGGTTTTTTGTTTTGTTTTGTTTTTTGTGGTACTGGGGATTGAACCCAGGGCCTTGGGCATGCGAGGCAGGCGCTCTACCAACAGAGCTCTATCCCCAGCCCTCATTTTTTAAATTAGTTATTTCCAATGAAGCCATACACCTTCACAACTCACTGCCCCCAACAAAAGCCAGACCCTTGACAGTGACTCCCTAAACAGATGTTGATTTAGAAGAAATAGAAAGTAGAGATCAGCAGAAATAAGGGGGAGGGGAGCCCCACAGTGGCAGGTCATCCAGTGAGCCTTGGGGGTGGGGCCTCCAGGCCACAGCTCCAGGACATGGATAAACACGCAGTGAGATGGGTCACACAGTGCTGCTGCTTTGTAAATGGACTTTTCTTTCCCCCACTTCACAATACTCACCACTGTTTCAGGAAAATAATGTACACGTCCACCATTTTCAAAACAGCTGAGAGAGTTTCAGTGTTGAGCTGGACCCTGATTAGTGATGTGACTTGAATGATAGGACCAACATGTATAACTCACAACTGAGAAGAGTACTTTGAGAAGTAGGGATCGGGACCACACTCAGATGGCAGGGGACAGGGAGTGTGTTTCAGCTGAAACCTGGAAAAGAAGGAAAGGGAAGAGCATTCCAGCCAGAGAGAAGAGCATGAGGCTGGAACTTGCGGGGTGTATTTGACAAAAATGGAGAACACTGTGTCATTAGATCAGAGCAAACAAGGGGAGGAGTGGGGGAGATGAAGGTAGATTAGTGGTAGGGCAGAGTGCACAAGGCCTTGTGGGCTACAGGAAGAAATTTAGCTTTAATGCTGAGGAAGGTGGGAGCCATGGAGGGTTCTGTGTGGAGGAGGGACTTGACAGGGCTCAAGTGTTCACAGGCGCCCTCTGGCTGCTGTTGGGGGAACATATTGAAGGTTGAACACAGGTCCATGGTGGAGCTGGGCTAGGGTGGAAGTAGGGAGTATGCAGATTCCAGATAATTAGGAAGGTGCAGCCAACAGGGTTTATGGTGGATTCAAAGAATGAAGGACAGAGAGGTGTTGAGACACGCAAGGCTGGAGGCTTGAGCATCAGGAGGACAGAACTGCCATTACTTTGGTCACCCAAGGTTGGGGGCACTCCCAATCCAGTGCAGCCATGCTGAGCATGGGCACCTGTGATACCCCTATGTCACCCTCTGCCTCCGGGTGCCCCCGAAGTCTACAGATCAGGGGCAAGGACTTTGTTGGGGAACACCTGGGAGTCGGCAGCCTGGAGCTGGTAGCCAAAGGCCTGAATGACCCCAGGAGCCCAGCGTAGTGAGGGGCCCACTCTCCAAGGGAGAGGGAAAAATCAAAGTTTGTTGATGGGGTAATGAGTATGCATGCAGGTCCCCAGAGGACTTGTGACCCGAGCCGCGGGGCAATCCTGACGTCCTCAGGTGACAGTTTCCTGTTCCCCACTCTCCCTAAAACCATGTAGGCACAGCCACGCCCCTCCCCCGTGCCACCTGGCCCCACAGTGACACTAGAGAGGGGTCTCCGCAGCTCTGTGAAAGGGACCTTTCCTAACTGTCCATGCGATGCCCCCCCCCCCCAGGTGTCCTATGCCAGACCCAGTTCCGCATCCATCCGGGATGCCAACCTGTACGTCAGCGGGCTCCCCAAGACCATGAGCCAGAAAGAGATGGAGCAGCTCTTCTCCCAGTATGGTCGCATCATCACCTCTCGCATCCTGGTGGACCAGGTCACAGGTCAGGCTGCGCGGAGGGTGCACCTGACCGGGGAGCGGGGCAAAGGCCCTGGGGCGGGCAAAGCGGAGCAACCATGAATGGCAGGGCGAGAGGTGGGTCGGCGGGACTCCTGACTGGCGCCCTCACCCCTGGCAGGTGTCTCTCGGGGTGTGGGATTCATCCGCTTTGACAAGAGGATCGAGGCCGAGGAGGCCATCAAAGGACTGAACGGGCAGAAGCCGCTGGGTGCGGCGGAGCCCATCACGGTCAAGTTCGCCAATAATCCAAGTCAGAAGACGGGGCAGGCGCTGCTCACTCACCTCTACCAGTCCTCGGCCCGGCGCTACGCAGGCCCCCTGCACCACCAGACGCAGCGCTTCCGGTGAGCCTCGGGCCACCGCCCGCTCCCCTAGGTCCCCAGGTCCCCAGGCCCCCAGGCCCCGCGGGCTCCGGCTTGCAGCCCCCACCCCAACCCCACTCCCCCCAGCAGCCGAGCTGGCAGAAAGGTGGGTGTGTCAGGCCCGGGGCAGGCTCCACACAGCCGTGCCCTGCGGCCACTGTGTGGCATTATCATTATTAGGTACTGGAAATTGAACCCAGGAGATCTTCCCGCCTCTTTCTTTCTTTCTGATACCTGGGGATTGAACCCAGGGCGCTTAACCACCGAGCCACATCCCCAGCCCTTTTATTTTTTTATTTTGAGACAAGGTCTGGCTGAGTTGCTGTGGCTGGTCTTGAACTTGCCATCCTCCTGCCTCAGCCTTCTGAGTTGCCAGAGGCACAGCAGCCTCATGAGAACAGAACTTATATTTCCCCCTTTTTATGGAAGAGGACCCTGAGGTACAGACAGGCATCACAGGGGGACAATGGGAGCTCCTCATGGACCCTGGGTGGCCGTGGCAAGTTACCCACCCTCCAAGTGCTCTAGCAGAGTTGACTATGCTGTTATTGTTGCCTCTGCGAGGATTTATCCTTCCCAGAGAGACCGAGTCCTGGGCCCAGACAGCACCCGCCAGCCAGCAGGGAGGGGGAGGATGAGGACGCCGGGGCAGGCGGGCAGCAGCAGGGCAGGCGAGAGGCGGTGCCCGAGTGACCGCCGCTCGGTGCCAGGCGGTGTCCAGCCGGGCGGGGAGCAGGCAGCGGGCGGGGGCAGGGCTCTGCCGCAGGCTGGCCTGGTGGGGGTGGGGAGGACAGGCCAGCCTGTGGCGTCACTACAGCGGGGTGTGTCCAGTGGACACCTCTGACCAACACTTCTGCCTCCACAGGCTGGACAATTTGCTCAACATGGCCTACGGAGTCAAGAGGTAACAGTGCCCCCGCCCCACTGCCCCCATCCCCTCACCGTCCCTCCTTGGACCCCTGCCCGGCTGTACCCCTACCCCATTGCACTTTGCCCCAGGACCACCAGCGTAGCCTTGTCTGCTTGTGCTTAGGAACAGCATGGCCACTAAGAGATTGACACCAGGCAGACCGCGGTTCTGACCCTCGGGACCTCCCTGCCTCTCAGGGGCTGTCAGTATCCACAGAGCTGCTCTGGAGTGTGGGTCCAGGGGGGCGGCACGCGCCCTCCTGTTTTTTCTTCCCATTCCAATGAAAGGCAAGCAGAGCTGCCTGGGTACGACTCACCCCCTGGCCCCACATGAAGTCCCCGGGATCCACTGGCCACTGTTGATCATATGCGTCAAGGGTCCCAGAATGACCCCCTCCTGCTCCAAAGTTGGGGTAGACCTGTGGCCCCCGCACCACTGATCTTGTGGAAGTCCCCATGGTCATTGCTCAACAAGCCACCCAGGGCATGCTGAGAGGTGGGCTCTTGCCTTGGGGTGGGAGACTAGTGTGTTGGGGTCAGACCTTGTCCCTCCTGGAGGTGAAGTGACACTGAGCTGGTGCTCAGCACATAGTGAGCACTCAATAAAAGGTGGCCATCTGACGACTACTGTTACTGTTGTTCCTGACCTTAGTCTAGGGGGAAAAGAGATTGGAAAATGAGCAGGACTGATGCAGAGATAGAGATCAGGACTGTGCACGGACGGCATGAGGGGCTTGGACCAGCAGAGACCCCAACCCTCTAGGCGACCTTAGTACGGAGGCCTGGTGGTGGAGTCCCTGGCAGCAGGAGCAGGCTGGGCAAAGGCCCAGGCGAGGGAGCAAGCAGTCAGGCCCAGGCGGTCAGGGGTAAATGGTCCAGCTCTTAGGGTCCCTCCTACCCTCGCCACCAAAAGCTGAGTGATTTAATTCTGAAGGTTGGGGACAGGAAGAATGCCAGGGAGGCAATTTTGTCCTTTCGGTAGTTCATTCCTTAAGGACCTCGAGAGCGTTTCATTAATTCACTTAAACACCTCCTGAATATCTCCTGGGTGCTGTTCTAGAGCTGTAGTGTGCCAGGGAGTAGATTCTAGCAGAAGAATGTGAAGTTGATAATAGTTCAGCCATCCCCCTTATCCCCTGGAACCATAAATAATGCTGAACTCCACATGGCCCTTGTTTTCCCATACATAGGGATACCATGGAATGTTTTCACTTAACAAGTATTTACACACTGAGGTTGTGACTTTTGTAGTGTGAGATGCTACAGAAAAATTAGCACAATTTCATGGATAGATTTGTTTTTAGCATAGATCTTAGCAACCTCAAGCAGTGTTTTTTTCTCTTTTCTTTAAGTTGAGAACTTTCACCTTTTTGCTTAAAGAAACTTTATCATTTCTCTTTGGCATATCTGAATTGCAGCATCACTACTCTTACACTTTGGGGTCATTGATTAAGAAAAAGAAGCGTTACTTGAACACAAGTATTGCGATGTTAAGACAGCTGGTCTGATACCTGATATGGTTTATTAAGTGACTAATGGGTGGGTAGTATATACAGTGTGGATACACTGGGCAGAGATAAATCACATCCTGGGCAAGACAGGATGAGATTTCACCTTGCTACTCAGAACAGTGTGCAATTTAAAATTTCTGAGTTGTTTATTTCTGGAATTTCCTGCTTAGTATTTTCAAAATAAGATTGACTACAGGTAACTGAAACTGCAGGAGGTAAAACTCTGGATAAGGGGGACCACTGTATATGATTTGAGTAGGCAAATGCTGGAAAGGGGCAGAAGGATGAGGAGGTGGGCCACTTTATGGAGACACAGGAGGCCACCTTGAGGGGGTGCTATCTATGCTGAGATGGAGGAGAGGCTCTGAACCCCCTGTGTTCATGTGCCAGCACTCAGCCCTGTTCTTCCAAAGAGGGTCTTCAGCCAGGTGAGGGTGCCAGGGTGCCTGGGGGGTGGGGAAATGGGGGCAGAGTTGCCCGAGGTAGTGTCAGGGTAGTGTCAGAATGGAGTCAGAGTTAGGGTGAGAGAAGAAGTTGGGTGGGAGGATGGACTGAGGGAAGGGAGGCAGTGAGGGTGCATTAGGGTTGAGATCTACAGGGCCCAGGACCAGTTAGGGTCCAAAGGTCATGGGATTGTTATAGATGGAGCAGATCATGGGTTGGTTCAGCCTAATGTTCAGGGAGGGTCTGAGGCCCAGACAAGTTTGAGATCAGAGCTGGTGTCTCCAGGTCAGAGTCAGAGGCCATAGGGTCACTGCAAGCTCAGGACAGCACAGGGTCAAACACACAGCAGGCCCAATGAAGAGTCCCAGTGGCACCAGGGCATCCCATGGTCCCGGCGGGGTCGGAGGCATGCTGGGGATCAGGGCAGAGCCCGCGTGACCCCCAAAGTAGTCCCCTGTCGCTCATCGCCAGGTTCTCGCCGATCGCCATCGATGGCATGAGTGGCCTGGCGGGCGTGGGCCTGTCAGGGGGCGCGGCCGGTGCCGGCTGGTGCATCTTCGTGTACAACCTGTCTCCGGAGGCCGATGAGAGCGTGCTGTGGCAGCTGTTTGGGCCCTTTGGGGCAGTCACCAATGTCAAGGTCATTCGCGATTTCACCACCAACAAATGCAAGGGCTTCGGCTTCGTCACCATGACCAACTATGACGAGGCAGCCATGGCCATCGCCAGCCTCAACGGCTACCGCCTGGGCGAGCGCGTGCTGCAGGTGTCCTTCAAGACCAGCAAACAGCACAAGGCCTGAGCTGCCCCGCCGCCCCCGCCCCGGGCAGCAGAGAGAGAGAGAGAGAAAGAGAGAGAGAGAGAGAGAGGAGGGGCCAGAGAGAGAGAGCCCAGGCAGACCCACAGCCCTACGAAGCCACAGGGTGAGCACTCGGGGAGCAGGAGGGTCTGCAGGGGAGGGGGTGCCCGGGGGTCCCCCACTCCGCTCTCCCTGCCCCCCCCATCCCAGGCTGGGCTGTTCACTCTCTCGTCTTGGTTTGGTTCATGGTGAAGGTTATTGTTTCTTTTCTCGGTTAAAAAGAAAGCAGAGACGAGCCCCCCAGTCCCCCCTCCATGGGATGGCTTGGGGGACATGGGGTGCCCTCTCAGGCCCCCTTGCCCAGGCTTCCCAACACGTCGGAGGGCCTGGAGAGAGAGGGGAGGGAACAGGTTTAAAAATCCCCAAAAAAGTGAAACATGAAGAGGGGTGTGGGCATTCCCAGCCCCCCAGAGCCCCTGGGTGGAATTCGGGGAGCAGGGGGCGGGGCTGGAAGCAGAAACAAAATGAAAAACAGGGGAGGGTGGGAGGGGAAGAAAAACTCTATTTTTGTAAAAAGGGAAAAAGACCTCGTGGAGAATTTTTACTGGGGATTCTTGAACTTGAAAAAAAAATCACAAAAAAAGACAAAAAAAAAAAAAAAAAAAGAAACTATTTTGGCAGGTTATGTTTACCAACTGGGGCAGGGGTGTGGGGAGCAGGGCTGAGGGGCCGGGAGTCCACAGGGCCACACACAGAGGAACAGCCACACGAAGACATGCAAGGGCACATGCTGACACCACAGGGGCAGAGACAGGCACGGACACACTCAGAGGTCATTCAGGAACTTGCTGGCCAAACCCAGACACGTGGACAGGGGTAAACCTCAACAAAGAAGGAGACAAGTTTGGGGCTACATAATGTGGACACAGACAAAGGTGGCCATACATACATGTAGGCGTGCCAACACACCCACAGGTCCACACGGACACACGATCGTGGACACAAGTCTGCTTGGATGTGTGGATCTAGACACCTGGTCACAGAGACACAAACACCCAGGAACACATGCACAGCACCCCACAGGCCCAGCAAGAGATCCCACCCCAGCCCTGACCCTGTCACTTCCTCCAGGCTGGCCCGGCCCCCCCTCCCAGAGTCCCCTTGGCTCCAACGTGCCCCAACCCCAGGTTCTCTGCACAGCTCTCTCCTGGCTCATCAGGGGTCTCCCTGCTGCCCACCAACAGGCGTGCACACGCAGTGTCCATGCATCCAGACACACAATACCTCGTTCCACTTTGGCATCATGGTGGGCTGGAGGCAGTCCCCACCCCCCACAACACTTGAGGCCAAAGGACCCCCTGTCCCTGGGGCTCAGCCTCCCTGGGCTGAGGGAGAGGCCCAGCCCTGAGCCTCCCCCATCCAGGGCTGGGCTTCCCCAGCAGCAAGCACCCAGCAACCCACCAGGCCCAGGGTGGATGGGCCCTGCGGCCCAGCCCCATGTCCCTTCCCGTCCACTCGTTACCCCTTTTGGTTTGTTGGGTTTTGTGTCTTTCCAGGTTGGGGAGGGCAGTGGACAAGCCCCCATCTGGAGCTCCAGCCCTGGCTTCTGTCTGGATTTTGCTCCTGCCTCCCTTTTCATTCTTTTAAAAAAATTCCAACAGAAGCCAAAGACTGGAGCCCCGGGGAGCCCTCAAAGCCCCCACCCACCCCTCAGTGGGCCCAGTCAGAACTGAAAATTGCAAAGCCCCCCGACTAGTTCTAGTTGCCTTCTCCCGGTGTCCTCTGCGTTTGGTGTCTGGCCATGGCCCCATCTGGACGTCCAACTCTCTCTCCCCACCCCTCCCGGTGTTGTTCTTAAACGTCTGTGGAGCTTCTGCTGCAAGGAACAAAAAGAAAAAAAAAAAACAAAAAAAAAAACGTCAAAAAAGCGACAAAATTAAAAAAAAAAATAAAAGCCAACCAAACGAGAGAAAAAAAAAGCAACAAAAAGAAGAAAAAAAAAAAACCACACACAGAAGAGATTAAAAAAAAAAAGGAAAAAAAAAAAAAAAAAAGACATAAACTGGCACCAGTTAACTTTCTTGTACTTTTTTGCTGAATTTAGCTTCTTGTAGTTTTAACTTATTGCTATGTTAACTATTTATTATTCCTGTTGCCCTGTAAGGAGATTTGTGTATATTTCTGTTACTTCATCCAGTTTGCAAGTTAAAGGAACGATGATGTTCTCTTTGTTTCTTTAAGTTTTGCCGAGATGTGGTTATGCCTAATTTATTTATAAAAGGGGAAGTGGAATCATTAAAGTAATAATAATTATTAATAACAGTAATGGTAGCCGAGTGGCACCCGGGGGGCGTGGGCTTCTGTGGGTCAGACCCCATGGCCAGCGACGTCCGGGGGTCTCAATGGGATTATTTTTGCTCTTGTCTTGAGAATTTTTTCAGTCCTCTTAGCTGGTGAAACCCCTAGCTTGTTCATGATACACAAACCTATTTATTCTTGTGGTTTTAAGTCCTCCTTCCTTTCCCCCTCCCTTCCAGCAGGGCAGGGACCCCTTAACGGGTCCACCCCCTCTTTCCCTGCTGTTTCTGGGGCTTTCTCCCCTCTGCCCTCCGCACATGCTGGAGGCATCCGAGCAATAAGGGCTGGGTTTGTCCCCCACCCTGGGGGGGCCAGGCTCTGGAGAGGGGGCACCTCCCCACACCCCCCACCGAGGCCTGGGCAGGGCCCTGCCACCCCCAAGACTGGGAGGGGACTTCTTTTTCTAAAACACAAAGCTCAGCCCAGCCAGGCCCCCTCCCTGGAGGCCAGCCCCTCCCCCCAGGGGGCCAGGCCAAGGGCTCCCAGGAGAGGGGGGCCTCGGTCTTCCACGTCCCTGGGGGTCAGGGGCAGGGCCAGCGGGGAGGAGGCTCAGCCCCTCCAACCCTCCCTTCATCCTGTTATTTATTCGGAAGGTTTCAAATCACGACAGAGTCCATGTTGGAGGTGATAAAGAACTGTTAAAAAAAAAAAAAAGACAAAAAAAAAAAAACAACAACAAGAACACTTTGCGTTGCGTTTAGACTATTTATTACCGGGATTCCAGGCCTGGCCGCGGTAACAGACTTTTACATGGAATTGTTTAATTATTTGTACTTTTCATGCCAGAAAAATAAAAGTTCAGAATCTTAAGGTCTCGGGTGTCTGTGCGCTGGCAAACAGGGATGGGTGAGGTTCTCTCATGCTGCTGTGCTGAGAGGTGAGCACAGGCTGCTGTCCCTCTCGGGGCCGGGGTCTCATTGCCCTGGGAGGGAAACTTGGCCTACCCATGGCACAGACAAGATCAGAGAGGATGAGACTGGCACAGATGGAAGCCCAGGCCACAGTGACCCAGGGTCTACCCGCCCCCTGCTGCTGGACTGTACTCCCTGAAGGCCATCTTCATGGATCTCTTGGGCTGCGGTGTCCCCTAATGGTGAGGGAGGCCAGGCATTACCTAAGGTGGCTGCGTCCCCTTCGCTCACCCCACCCTGGTAGAGCAAGCAGACATCACCAAGCTTGGAGATAAGTCACATTTATTGTTTCAAGGTCACACAGGTCAAGTCATTCACTGTCCCCACCAGGGGAGGAAGAGGGGGGCAGGATGGGATGCAGGGGCACACCACCAGGGTGGGGGACCAATGAGGGCCAGTTCCTTTACCCCGTCTTTGGAGGCCACTCGGGCCGGGAGTTGGCTCTGCCCCACCTGGGCCCCTGGAGCAGGGGGAGCCCATCAGGTTCCTGCCCCATGGGAGGGGGAGGAACCCGAGGGGGCAGGCCTTGGTCCACAGAGTGAAGGGCAGGTGGGCGGCACTGCTGGGGGCTGGCTTCTTGCCTTGAGGTTCTAGAGTGGGAGAAAGAACAAATTAGAATGAGGGAGGGGCTGGGGTGCAGCTGGGGGAAGCAGCTGCCCTGGGTTCCACCCAGCATCGCAGAACAGAAAGAAAGAAGATGGAGACAGGAGAGCGAGATGTCCCCACACTCAGGCGGGCAGAGACCCCATCTCCCTGCCCACCTCTGCCCAGCTAGAGCTCGTCGTGGTCTCCCTCGGCAGGTGGCTCTGGGGGTGGCTCCGGGCAGGCTGCAGGTGTCGTCAGCTCCATGAGGTACTCACAGCGACTGGGCTCTGTGGTGCTGGTCACCACGGTCTCCTTCCCGCACAGGAGGCGCACCTGGGAAAAAGGCAGGTGGGAGGCTGGGGCGGGCGCGGCCAGGCGTGGGTTCCCACCCACAGCCCCCTGCGTCGGGCACTCACGGTGGTGGAGCGGTTGGGGCCCTGCCAGCAGCCCGTGCCCTGTTCGTACTTCATGGCGCTGAATCTGTCGTGGTCTGGACCTGCCCATGAGCCCCAGGTGCTGTGGGAGAGCAAGGTGCTGAGGGTCTGCAGCTGGGGAGGAGGGAGGGAGGAGGCCCTGGCCTGGGACACTCACCCAAGGTTGGTGGGGGAGCCACCGAGTTTGGGTTTCTGTGAGACGAGTTTGAAGGGGCAGAGCCGGTAGATGTACCTGTGGAGGGACAGGGCTGACGGGTCAGGGGTCATGGGAACCCCTGCACACAAGGGGCTCACAGCCTCAAATTACACTGACCCTGGCCTCTGTCCCCATCGATGAGGAGGGCAGCCCATCCCTGCCACCGGCTCACTCGCCCCTGCACTCAGCCACCGCCCCCTGCGCTGGCCGATCGGCCCAGGACTCACTCGTTGGTGGTCAGCTCGTAGCACTGGCTGTAAAGGTAGGCAAACTCCCCGTGGGGGCCAAAGTCAAAGGAAATCTCCTGCTCCAGGTTCCTGGAAGGGGAGGCATGTGAAGGGCAGCCAAGGACACAGGGACCAACACGGGAGCTGCCACTTGGGGACCCCCCAACAGAAGCCAGGCCCGCCAGTGCCCAGCTGCCTCATGGCTCCGGGATCTGCCTCCTCTAGGGAGCCAGGTGGTGTGGCTTTGCGTCCCCTGGACATAGGCCTGGCTACCTGATGGACTCCTCCATGTCCTTCAAGGACCGCTCAGCCTCCTCGAACTTGTTGCGGGCCTCCTGGGCAGCTGGGGAGGGAGCAGAGGTCAGAGTGGTGACCTCCACCCAGGAAGACGGAAAATGGGGTGCCACAGAGGAGACCGCATCCCCCTGCTGCCTGGTCTAACTTGGTCAAGGGTGGAACAGACTGGACCCAGGCGGCCTAGGGAAGGCCTCTCCTGCTGCTAAGACGCCTGGCTCCTGAGGGACCTAGCGGGCTCCAGCGCACCCGCTGCTGGCGGCTGCAGGGGTGACACAAACAAGTTGCAGCCCTGGGGAGACAGGCAGAGCTCTGGGGCTGGCGGGATGGGCGGCCTTCGCAGGCCTCAGTGTGCGGGGCTTACTGGGAGGTATCCCATCCTAGGGCAGGTGCCTCAGCCCTTGCTGGGAAAGGCAGATAGTGGGGCTCAGCTCCGGCTCCACTCCCAAGGGGCAGGGCCAGGCTGCTGGCCCAGTGCCCTCCCCCCAGGTCGGGGCCTCACCATCGATGAAGGCCTGCGTCTGCTCATCATAGGGTGGCATCTTGTCCTCCTCGGTGGGGCTGGCCGGCTGCGGGGTCTCGAGTGGGGGTGGGGCCTCCTGGGGAAGGGCAGCGTCAGCAGCAGCCTGGCCCCACCCCCTCTGCCCCCTGCGCCCCCACACACACCTTGGGCTGCTCCCCCTGCACCTCCTCTTCCTCCTCCTCCTCCTCTTCCTCCTCCGTCTCCTCCTCCTCTTCCTCCTCCTCCTCCTCTGTGGGCAGCAAGTGCACTGATGGCTGCGGCTCCTCCTTGGGCTGCGACACATCAGGGGATGAAGTTTCTGGCAGCTCCGTGGGCAGCACCTGGCAGGGAGGCAGAAGGCGGGTGCTGAGGACAGGGGCACCTGCTCACACCATCACGGCCAGTGGCCCCACCCTTCTAGAGGAAGGGCGGGACAGATGACAGGAGGGGGCCTCTAGAAGACACATGGACTGTCCAGCTGGCCAGGGTGGCTGGGGGCCAGGACTGGAGACCATGCCTTTGTGAGGCAGTGGGGGCAGGGCAGGGGCAGGACGGCCTCCCTTCCCCCTCCCATACTGACCTCAGACCGATACTTGTCTCTGATGGCGGCCCAGACACGGTCATAGAACGAGCTGGCATCCGTGTGTGCATCCCCACCAAGGAGGGCCTGTTTGGCAAGTGGGGTCAGGACTGGGCTTCCACTGCCTGTTCCCAAACACCCGGCACTGGGGCTTCGGACAGTGGTGCCAGGCACCAGCTTGTGGGGCCCTGAGGCCTGGGGACCAGATCCAGCAAGCAAGGTGCTGTGGCCGGAAGGGGGCAGCACAGGCCTGTTGGGGAGCAAGGCAGGGCTGGGCCTGGGGACCCGGGAGAAGGACAGAGGAGCCAGAAGGAGCAGAAAGACCCAGAGACAGCTCAAGCACCACGTGCCAGGCCTCTGAGGCCAAAGCCAAGGGGTGACAGGGAAGGACCCAGGAGTGGGCAGGAACAGAGAGAGGGACAAGGAGCAGCGGCCAGGCTGGAGAGTAGAAGGGACGACAGGGCCAAAGGCTCGGGTGGGCAGGGCAAGCCGAGTATCCAGCCAGCAGGATGCCCGGGGTGGGGACAGAAGTGGGAAACCGGCTCTCCCCTGCCCTGGCTCTTTCTTGGACCCCACCAGATGGGGAGAGGTGACCCTGGGCAGCCACCACCTTGGCCTGCCCAGGCAGCAGCTATGGTTGGGTGCCCCAAGAGCCCTGGCCGGGGTCAACAGGGAGCTTTCCACCAGAGCTGCCCGTTGGCCTGCCCACTCCTTTGTCCTGATGTCACCAGGTCTGTGGGCAGGTTGAGTACCTGGGCCTCGCCTTCAGATAGCACCCCATCTCCATCCGTGTCCAGCTCTGGATGGGTCTGCAGCTCAGCCACCGAGACCCTGTGGGGACAAAGACAGGGAGGGGTGAGGCTCCCTGGGGCTTATCCAGCTGCCCGGTGGGCCTGCCGGCTCCTGCCTGCCAGTGCTGTTCCCAGAGCTTCGCTAAGGACCTCCAGTGGGGCGGGGCAGGAGGCTGAGAGAGGCAAGGGCTGGAGTGGGGCCCCAGGCCAGAAGGAGCAAGCCCAGCGCCCCTTCCCCCGCCCGCGGCTCAAAGCAGAGATGAAGGCTGGAGACATGGGGACACTCACAGGATCCTTTTTCTGACCCTTACCAGCTTCTCCCTTCTTCTGCCCTCGCAACTCAATGTTTTATCAAAACTGCCCACTGCCCAGCACCTCCACCCAGCCAGGCCCGGTACCCACGCTTGCCTGGACGCCACCCCCGCACTCCTATGACCAGCAGCCCCCCAGCAGCCCTTGCCTCTCCCTCCTGGGCTCTGAGCTCCCCTTGGTTCCCCAAAGCCCAGCCTTCACCATCTGCTGGGTTACTCAGCAAATTCAAAGGCACAGAACTCACACAGGTCTGGCTTTCGCCACTTGTACTGGGACAAACTGGCCCTGGGAAAGCCATCCCTCCCCACAGGATGTTGTCTGGCCCAGACCCCCAGAGGTGAAGCCAGTGCAGGCTCTGGCCGGCTTCCCAAGGCAGATGGGCGGGGGGACCCCAGCTGGGCAGGCGGCAGGGCCACACTCACACCCCGTCCATGTCGTCATCCAGCTCCTGGAAGGTGTTGGCTGCCAGCTCCTGCTCCCGCTGGGCCCTGGACGCGGCCTGCTGCTCTGTGGAGGGGCCGGCTCTCGTCACCCTGTGCCCCGCCCACTCACTCCCACTGTCCCACTGAGCACCCCCTGTGTGTCCAGCGTGCTAAGGACACAGCTGTAGACAAGAGAAAGAAAGGTCCGTGTCCTCTGGAGGGAAAGGACAGGTAAGAAATGAAGTGGACAGGTGAAGCCTGGGCATGTGGGGTGGGGGACATGATGGGGAGAAGAGAAGTGGGCAGCGGGAGGGATGGACGCCAGGGCCTGGGCTGGCGCAGGTTCAGTGCTGTGTTTCTAGCCTCTGGGGGGAGCCTGGCAGTCACAGGTGCCCGACAGGCTGGCTGGATGAGCTATGGGTTAGGAGAGATCGGAAAGAGCCTGTCAGCAGAGGGAGGGAAGAAAGAGGGCAGCAGAGGCCCAGAGACTCGGAGACCCACAGCAGGGCCTTAGAGAGGGGCTGCCCTGGTTCCTAGGGCCACCCACACCCCAGCTACCAGTATGAGCAGCAAGGACCACGTCTCCAATGCCGACCAGCAAGGCTCGGCCCCTCAGCTAGCACAGAGTGGGTTTCCTCCCCCTCCCCTCCTAGCCCGCTTCCATGGGGTGTCGAGGACTGAGACGGAGACCCTGGACCACGGCTTTGCACCTCCAGTCACAGCAGCACGACCCAACAGCGAGAAGTGCTTCAACAATCGCCAACCAAGGCCACAGGGATGGCAGGGGCAAGAAGATACAGAACACAGAAGTCATTTTTGCCAAAGGGACTTTGTCAGACCTGGCAAATTCAGATGTCTGTTTGATGAGACCTGGGGAGCAAAGGGGACTGGAATCAAAGTCCAAGGTCAGGAGACTAACAGGGCCCCCACAGACTCAGCAAGGCTATCTGTCAGTCATAAGCTTGATCAGAAAACTCCACAAGGGCTGAGCTGTGGCCCAGGGGTAGAGTGCTTGCCCAGCACCTGGGGGCCTAGGGCTCAATACCCAGCACTGAAAAAACAAACACAAGGGCTGGGGCTGGGGCTCAGCGGTAGAGCACTCGTCTAGCATGTGCGCGCCCTGGGTTCGATCCTCAGCACCACGTAAAAATAAATAAAGGTATTGGGTCCAACGACAACTAAAACATTAAAACACACACACACACAGGGGATGGGGAGACATAATCTAACAGGTGCACATATCTCAGTTCACACACTGACTGAGAGCACAACTCCAATCTTGAACTTGGATTCAGGGGTCTCTGAATGGCAGCGTTCCAAGCATCAGACAGAAAGAAAAGCACAAAGTACCTAGGCTGACAACTATTCCTGAAAATGACTTCCACACGATGACCAAAACACAAGGACAACGAGAAATGAGCTGCCACCATCAGAGATCAGCCAACGGACAGCAGGAGTGAGCCTCCCAGCTCAGGCCCTCCTCCCGTCCAAGAGCAGACGAGCCCCTGGCCAGCCTGGACATACCTTCCCACTGCCTCCGGTGCTCTTCTTTGGCCTCCTTCTCTGGCTTCTCAGCCTCCTCCTTCACTGCCCGAAGCAACTCCACCTGGTCTTCCAGAGACTTCTTTCCAGCCTGTAGCTCAATGAGCTTTTTCTGGGAGGCAGAAGGCAAAAAGGCCAGCTCTCCTTCAGGTCTGCCCGCTTCTTAAAGCAACCTCCCTGCCTCTAATCCACTAGAGAAGGCCGTGGCCCCAGGGCTGGGAAGGACACCGCCAGTGTGCCTTCAAGGGACATCCAGAATCCACCTGCTTCTCCCCACCCCCATATCTCCTACTCCCTGGTTTCCTGGAAAAAGAGACCTTTCAGACACCTGGGTCTCCCCCTGCCTCTGGAGAGGAGCCCAAACACCCTGATGGAGCCCACAAGGCCCTGCCTGCTCTCCAGCCCTCTCTGTCCTGCCCTCATCTTAAAACTCACAGCTCCAACCCCCTGACAGCACTCAGACCCCCACACATGCTGTTCCTTTACCCTGGAACATTCTCCATGGCTAAGTCCAAATTATCCTAGGGCTTTTGGTTTAGATAGAGACCTCCTTCTCTAGGGGGGAGAGCATGGCAAGACCCACCTCTATGCTGCAAAGCTCCCAAACTTCCCTTCACTGTCTGTCTCTCCCCTGGGCGGTCCAGGTCTGGCCCTAGCCTCCTACCAGTGCCTGACACGCCTTGTACTCCTACACCTTAAGAAGAAACAAGGGCTGAGGAGTTGTAGAGCGCTTGCCTGGAATGTGTGAGGTCCTGTGCTCTGTCCCCAGCACCACACACATACATGAAAAAGATGGAGACACTGGGGGACAGGCCAGGAAACCATCGATATCCCCACGTAGAGGCAGGCAGAATCCTTACCTCCCTGCCCAACTCTGCCCCAGCTAGAGCTCATCATGGTCACCATCAATAGTGGTTCAGGGGTTGGCAGGTGCTGCTGACCCATATCACCTTGTTTGGCCCAGCCCCAAAACTGGGAAGTCCCCGATCATCAACTCATTCTATAGACAGTGGCACCACAGACCAAGGATGCAGAAAGGAGGCCTCCTGTCCCTAAGAGACAGCAGAGACCCTGGAAGCTCACTTTAGTCCAGTGTCTGGCCTTGGCTGACCCCTGAGCTGACTGCCTCACTTTGCCAAAGACTAAATGCTCAGTGCTGTTCACCTGAGCAGAGCAAGGGGCAGACAGGTGGCAACTTGCCCCAGGACCCTGTTTAGGGGCAGGTACAAACCCCACGAGCACTGCCAGCCCACCCCTCTAGGCCTCAAGGCCCAGAATGTCCCAAGTCAGCCTCCAAGGGTGCCTCACCTGCTTCTCCTCCCGGGCCTTCTTCCAATCCTCAATAAGGATCTTCTTCAGGCGGAACCCTTCACGGGTGACCTCTGCCATCTGCTGCAGGGACTCTCTCTCCTTGCGGCCCTTCTCTCTGGGGTAGAGGGGACACATAGGCACCACCAGGGAGCACACAGGGCATACCCCATTGCCCTTTTCCAGAAGAGCTGAATGCACCTGCCAACCCCACACGCTCACACATCGTGCTAAGGATGAGCCAGCAAATGCTCCTCCATCCCCAGGCTCCCAACTTTGGTGCCCCTCATCCCTTGTCCTTGAGAGGAGGGACAGTGCACAATCTTGGGGTCAAGGGGAGGTACTAGGGAGTATTGAAGACTGAGGGCTTGGAGGTGGTTCCTAAGAGACAAAGGAAAGAAAGGACAGAAATCACAGACTCCTAGACTGAAAGGGAACTGACAGAAATTGAACTTTGCTCAAGCCACTCTCTACTTAGAAGACCTAAAGTCAAGAGAACTTATATATAAGTGTTGGGAGTCTTAGCTTCCTTGCAAAACTAACCCAGCACAATAAAAAATAAATAAAAATAAAAACAAAAAATACCTGACACAGCCCTCCCACCCACCTACCAAAGACAGGAGTTGAGAGTGGCTGTTCTGGTAGATGCCACAGTCCTCCCTACTCCCCACTGCCTCATACTTGACCCAGTTCTGTTGCTCACATCACCCACGTTTAAATTTCAGGCCCCACGCTAGCATGTGGCAATTAAAAACGGAGCAGGAGTTCCAGTGGAGCTATCAAGTTCCAGCTCTGCTACCTGCTAACAGGTGGCCCTGGAGAAATCCTTTCCCTTCCTACACTTGAGTCTCCTCATCTGTTGGATAAGGAAACAATCGCACCTGCTTTGAGGTTACAGGGAGAGCCAGGGATGGAGGGTTCAGAAAACACCTGCCTGGCACAGAGTGAGCAAAAGAGGAGGGAGCCAGCACAAGCAAGGGGTGTGGCCCAGCAAGGTGGTGAGGGGTGACAATGGGGAGGGTACTGTTATCACATACTTGCAGGTGTTTTCACAGATGATGCCACTGTTGTACTCATCTGTCCCGTCACAGCAGTCTGAAGTAGAGGTGGGGGCCAAGATCAAGAGCTGGCCGTACCTCCACCCACCGGCCACCACTGCCTCCTTCCCCATGCCAGGGCCTCCATACTCACCACATATTGCATCGTTGACCCGGTTCGAGGGGATGTACAGGGCCTTGTAGCCAGTGTTGGTGCAGTGGAAGCTGCCATTTGGACAGGCAGCTGTGCCTGTGGTGAAGGCAGAGAGGGCCTGCTGAGTTCACCCAGCCAGGTGCCTAACTGTCATCTGCGCCCACAGCCCTGGACCCCCGGGACACAGAAAGCACCAGAAAGGTGGGAACAACCAAGGGAAGGTCAGAGCTGCACACTCGAGGCCTAAAACAACACTCTCCAGTGCTCCCTGCTGCCTCTCTCCTCTGAGGCCCTTCAAAACCCGGCCCTGCCGGCTCCTCTTCTGTCTTCGCCCCATCCCCAGCCAGACTGTCCCTGAGTCCCATCTCTGAGGGGTTGTAGAATGTAGGCTCTCCATCTGCAGCTCCTTCAGGATTCTCCTGAACACTCACTTCCCCTGAGAAGCCTTTCCTGATCTCCAGAATGTCCTGGAAGGGCAGGGTTCTCTGGGCTTCCACATCACCATCTACTGCCCTGGTCGAAACAGCAGGACCTGATTTCTGTTTTCTTTTTTCTTGGGGGCGGGATGTAGTGCTGGGATGGAACCCAGGACAGACCTCTAGTGAAACACACTCTACCACTGAACAATGCCCCCAGCCCAACATCGGCCAGGTTTCCGTGCCTGCTTCCTGGAAGCCATGGGAAGGCAGGACTGGGTTTCTCTCCATCATCTTATGGGGCCTTGGCGCTCAGCAGTGCTCACTAAATGAGGTGAAAGGGAGGTGAAAGGGAGGTGGGGGGATGTAGGGAGCTCACCAGGCTCGTCTGAGCCATCCTTGCAGTCGCAGTAATCATCGTTGACCTGATCAAAAGGAATGGTGGCTGAGCCATCCAGGCAGGTGAAAGGCTTGGACTCATCATAGAAGTGATGGTCTAGAGAGGAAAGAAGGAGAGAAACCTTCTCAACAGAATACCACCTCTGCCACGCCCACCCCCTCGTTGAGCCTGCGTCACAGGTAAAGTGAGGTAAAATGTTGCAAAGGCCCACCCCAGGAGCCACGGGTAGGCTCCTCCCACGCCCGACCCCCACCTCCAGCAAACTCACTGGTAAGGGCGACGCCCCGGGGCCTCTTGACCTCCACTGCCCGGCAGAGGGGCAGCAGAAGCAGCAGCAGCAACATCCCGCAGGGGCTGTAAGGCCGGAAGCGGGTTCTGCGGGAGGAAGGAGGCTGCGGGGAGATGTACCGCGTCCCCACGCTGCGGCAAGAATGGGACAACTGGTCAGCAGGAGAGGGCTACTTCCAGCCCATTGGATTCCTCCACCGCCTCTGGGCAATACGAGCTCCGATTTGGGAACAGGGAGCAGACGACTCCCCAGTCCTGGCCAGTCGAAGAGAGTCTCACTTTGCTCAAATCAGGGGCGGGCAACTGAAAACCTCCGCTCCCTGTGCCGAGGCCAAGTGGGCAATCCGATTCCCGCCAATAGGCCCAAAGGGCTAACAGTTTCCCCCACCCACTGCGCAAACACCCCTTAGTTGCCCCTTGTACGAAATTAGACTGCCTTCCCACCCACTAGTCCATCACCTACACGAGGCCGAGGCAAAGGTCAGTAACACCCGCACCCCCCTTGCCCAGCGGCCAGGGATCCTGCTGTAAAAAGAAAGCGGAAAAGTCTAGGAAGCATCACTTCCGGTCCCACCATGCTCCTGGGAGAACGACAGCTCAGGGAAGCCATGTTGGGTGTGGCTAACAAGCGGGTGCCGGAACTGAGACGGCCATCTTGGGCAGGACTGTTAAGTCTTAAGAGACGATAGATCAGAAGAATCGCGCTTAATGGCGGCGCAGAGTGCCTCCATCTTGGGAGTGGCGGCTCCTGCAACCGGAATAGAAAGTTCCTGAAAAATGCCGGTGAACCCCCAGCGGGAGAAGAAAAAGAAAAAAAAAAAAAATGCGATGAACACGTGATTGCATCGCGGCTAGGCCTCGTCCCCTTCAGAGACCGTCCTTCTGCGCGTCATCAGCCAATGAGAGTCGTAGGGTGGAACGCAGGCGATCTCCATGGGAACTTCGGAGGGAGGAGGGGGGAGGAGATTACCTAGCAACCGCGAGATGCTGAGAGGGCCAGCCAAGCCGTCGGTAAGTGCATTCCAGGCGCCCGAGGAACCAGAGCTGACGGATCCCGAACCGGAGCAGCGGACTCCTATTGCCCCTCTAGCTCCTAGCAGTCCTTGGCCCCAACCCAGTCATGACGTCTCCTCTGTGCAGGGCGGCCTCTCTCAACGCCCTGACTGCTCAGGACCAGGTCTCTACACCTTCTTCCAAAGCCAAGGGCAGTAAGGCTCAGGCCAAGTATGGCTATCCCCGAGGCAAGCACGCTACGCGAGCACAGGCCTGGCCCGCACGCAGTTCCAAGGCAGAATCCCTCCGCGGGGCGGTGAAGACTTCTGTGCACGCACAGGTGGTTGAGTTGCAAAGGAAGATTCAACTATTAGGTAAGATGGCTCCAGAGGACGCCAGAAGGATCCAGGGTCAACAGTGACCACCCAGTTTGACTAGGCATGGTGTGACAAAGGAGTTTCACTAGTATGAATCTAGGTGGACAGTTTCTGGAGGCAAAAACTCACGCTTCTGTCGGGCTTGGTGGAGCAAGTTTCCAATCCCAGCGACTTGGGAGGCTAAGGCAGGAGGATCCCAAGTCTGAGGCCAGCCTCAGAAACTTAACGAGGCCCTGTCTCAAAATAAAAAGTAGAAAGGGCTGGAGCTGGAGCTTAGTGGTAAAGCGCCCTTGGATTCAATTTCCAGTACCCAAAACAAAAACAAAACGAAAAGAAACACTCATACGCATTCATGGTTTTTCTCATCTCTCTTTTCAAACTTATGAGCTCAGAACTGACTGGGGTAGGGGTTGGGTAGGTAGCTCAGTGGTAATAGTGCTTGCCTAGCATGTGTGATCCCTGAGTTCAATCCTCAGCACTGCCAGAAACAAAAAGAGAGTGAACTGACTGGATTGTATTTCATATTTACTGTAATTTCGGTTCTTCCATATCACACATGTAGTAGTTAAAAAAAAAAAAAAAAAAAAAAAAAAAAAAAAAACAGATTCTAGAGCCAGAATTTTTGAGATCAAATACTGACTCTGCCTAATAGTTGTTTGACCTCGGGCCATTTAACATTAACCCTACTTGCTGTTTTTCCATCTGTAAAATGGAAATAGTAACAGGGCAAGGTGGCTACTTGGTATAAAGTGATTAGAAAGGTGCCTGGTATATGATAAAGTATTATAAAGTGAGAACTAATAGTTCTCATGGATAGGGCAATCTTGTCCTTCCCAGTGGCCATTTGACAATGTCTGTAGACATTTTTGGTTGTTACACTGCTGGAGACCAGCTGCTCCTGACATCTATTGTGTCGAAGCCAGGATACAGTTTAACATCCTACAAGGCACACAGCAGCTTCCCACAGCAAATTATTCAGCCAAAACATCAGTTGAGCAGATATTTGGGAAATCCTAGTGTGTAAATCATTATTGGTTTTTACTAAGAAATAATATTTCTGGGGGGCGGTGGCCCACACCTATAACCCAGGTACTTGGGAGGCTGAGGCAGGAAGATGAAAAGTTTGAAGCCAACCTGGGAAATTTAGCAAGACCCTGTCTCAAAATTTACTTAAAAGTGCTGGGATGTAGCTCAGTAGTAGAGCACTCCTGGGTTCAGTCCCCAGTTCTGGAAAAGAAAAAAAAAAGAGAGAGGAGAAGGAGATAATCTTGAATAGCTGTTGAAGGTGTGGATGCAGGAGCAAGATTGCTTGTGACGTTGAGCAATTTAAACCAATCTGAGCCTTAGTTTTCTCATCTGTGAAATGGGTATGATGTGTACTTACTGGCATGTGATATTGAGTACCTGGAAAGACCTGAGTCCAGCATCCAACACATAAATAAGACCTGAAAACAAACTACTTTAACATGTATTTTGAGGGGATGGTAAGACATTTCAAGGTATGTGCACAATGTGTACCCATCAAGGTAATTGGCATATTCACAGACATTTGTCATTTCTTTGGAGAACACCCAAAATCCTCTGTACCATTTTGATATGTACAATTGACTTGCTGTCAGCCATAGTTATCCTACAGTACTAGAAAACGTTGGAAGTTATTTCCCTGTGCCGGTTAACCATCTTCTCTCCATCTTCAAGTATCATTATAATATTAAGTTGAAGATTGATTGCAAGAAGATCTTCCCTCTGGGAAGTCCCATCTGCCTACCTAATGACACTGAGCTTGTGTCTGCCCACCTCACCTGCCCCCAGAGAGTGACCGGAAAGCCTTTTATGAGAGCTCCCAGTGGAACATCAAGAAGAACCAGGACACCATCAGCCAGCTCCGAGAGGAGACCAAGATTCTCCAGCTGCAACTGACGGACTTGCTTCAGGTTAGGGTGAAGAGGTGGGTGGCTGGGTGCTGGGGGCAGGCAGGTGGCCTGAGTGAGGGGTGACGGTCTCCTGTCCTTGCAGGGAGATGAGAAAGTGGTCCAGGCAGTAATTCAAGAATGGAAATCAGAGAAGCCATACCTGAAGAACAGGACAGGCCAGGTTTGCCTCACCCACTGACCAGCTCCCTTGTCTCCATCCTGGGTACCCTTCTCACTGGACTTCCTGCTGCCACTTTCCACCTCTCCAGACCTTTCCCTACACCAGCTGCCAATCATTTACTCCTGGAAGAAATCTTTATTAAGCACTGGCTCTGTGTTTGACATGGTGTTAGGTGTCGGGGACCATGCAGTGACAAAACAGATCAAGTCTCCCTTCCAAGAAGCTCATATTCTAGTAGAGAAGCTGACCAACAAGACCCAAAATGAAACAAAACCTCCTCCAAAATTTGGGCATGGTGGTACAGCCTATAGTCCCAGCCATGTGGGAGGCTGGGCGGAAGGATCTCTTGAGCCCAGGAGTTTGAGGCCAATCTGAGCAATCTAGAGACCTCATCTCTTAGGGGGGGAAAACTGAACAACAGAGGTAAGAACAAAGGAATTTCCAGCAATTATAAGAGAAATAAATAAAGTAGTGTCATTTACTAGAGAAGGGCAAAAACTGGTACTTCAGATTGGGAGTGAAGTCAGCAAAGACCTCTTTCCAAACGAGGTGATATTTGAGCTGGGAATGGAATATTAGAAAAAAATCTGGGAAAAAAACTCCTGGCAGAGGGAACAGCAAGTGCAAAGTCCCTGAGGTAAGAAGAAGCATTGAGTGTGGAGACCAGGTGAAGACCAGGATAGCTGGGGAAGAGTGAGGCAAGGCAGGGAGACCCATCCTGGCCTCAACCATGACACCCCGTGTCATGGTTCCTTGAAGTGGAAAATAGACTTCAACAAGACAGGAGGGGAGGCAAGAGGAGAAGTCATCCAGGTGAAAGATGCTTTGGCCTGCACTACTACCAAAAGGGTAGAGGTTGAAGGAAATAGATGCCTCCGGGGAAACCTGACAGAGATAAGAGAGAATTTGCTAACAAATGAGATATATGTGGGAGAAAAAAACTTTGATGGCATCAAAGTTTGGGGATTTTTTTTTTTTTTTTTTTTTTTGTGGCTGGGTACTGAACCCAGTTAAGCAGACATTTTATGACTGAGTTACCCCCCCAGCAAGATTTGGGGTTTGAGTATGAATGGAGCTACCATAAGCCCAGATGGGAAAAATGGCAGAAGGACGCGTTGGTGAGACAATCAGGTGCTTTTGGAAGGGATGATTTTGAGAGTATGCATGTGGGCATAAGGGGAGGCTTAGTTTAGGTGTCTTCAGTGTAGAGATGGCCTCTAAGCCCCTGAGACTGTGTAAGATCACCAGTGGGGAGGGTATGAACCAGGAGGAGAGTCTGCAACTACCTCTCTCCGAAAACAAAAGACACAGAGACCAGAGACTGAATGGCCAGGGAGGTGGGAGGAAATTTGGAGATTGAGTCCATCAAAGAAAATCTGCAGGGACACTGATAAGAAGGGAGATGAAGGGGCTGTGGCTCAGTGGTAGAGCGCTTGCCTAGCATGTGTGAGGCACTGGGTTCGAGCCTCAGCACCACATAAAAGTTAACAAAATAAAGGCATTCTGCCCATCTACAACTACAAAAAAATTAAATAAATAAATGAAAATTTTAAAAAAGGGAGATCAAGGCCACTCTGTGGGAGAAGGGAGGAACTAAAAGACTCAGACCCCTGCTCTTGCACTTGTCCTCCTGCAGCAGGCCCTGGAGCACCTGGACCACCAGCTGAGCGAGAAGGTGAAGCAGGTAAATGCCCTGCGACACCAGGTGGTGTTGAGGCAGAAGCGGCTGGAGGAGCTCCAGCTGCAGCACAGCCTTCGCCAGCTAGAGATGACCGAGGCACAGAACTGCAACACGGAGGAGGCCAAGGTAGGGCCTCCTCGCATAAGGAGGCGCAAGGCCAGGCCTGGGGAGCTGGGGCCGGGGGAGGAATGGAGGAGGGAGGGGACTCAGCCATCCCTGCTGCCCACTAGACCTTGAGGAACCTGGAGAACCGCCTGGAGAAGGCCCGGATGAAGGCGGAAGAGGCAGAACATATTACCAATGTGTACCTGCAGCTCAAGGCCTATCTCCAGGTAGGCACTAGGCCTGCTTGGCGGGAGGAGGGCAGGTCTGCCCCGAACCACAGTCACAGACCTGTCCCACTCCCATGCCCAGGAGGAGAGCCTCAACTTGGACAACCGTCTGGACTCCATGGAGGCTGAGGTGGTGAGAACCAAACAGGAGGTGGAGGAACTGCACGTGGTGAATCAGGAGGCCCTCAACGCACGGGACATTGCCAAGGTGCCAGCCCACCTGTCAAGGTCTCCTCCCCCAGAATCTGAACCCAGCCTCGCCTGAGCCGCTCTTGTCTGTCCACCACACCCTGCCGACCTGTCCCGGCAGTGTTTACCAGGGCCTGTGCGCTCTGCCTCCAGCGGACATGGGTACCAGCTGCCCCTCTGCTCGCCCTCCAGAACCAACTGCAGTATCTGGAGGAGACCGTGATTCGAGAACGCAAGAGCCGTGAGCGCTTCATAAGTGATTGCAAGAAGCGTGCTGAGGAGAAGAAACTGCAGAACGAGCGCATGGAGCGCAAGGTGGGCGCACCCAGGGATGCAGGGCTTCGTGATCAGCCCACACCCAACACGACCTGGCCTTGTCCCTTCCCAGTCATGTCCCCATTAGCCCTCACCCTGGACCCTTTCCTACTCTAGACATTTCTTCTAACGCCCCCACCCTCCCTGACTCCACCTCCACTTGATGCGAGGGTTCCTCCCACATCCACCACATCCACATTCTGCCCTCCTCTCTCCTTCCCTCCCACCTAAGTGCCCCATTTTGGCGCTGCCAGAACCTCCCCTTACTCTCTGGTCTCCACTTATCCTTCCCCCTTCTGACCGGGCCTCTCTGACCTAAATCTGACCCTGCTGATAGTCCGCCCCTCTCTCGACTCCTCCCCTTTGTGCTGGCTCTGAAGCCACCTCCTGCCGAGTCCTCCTGATCCCCGCCCAAGTGTTCTTACCTGGCTCCAGGTCTTTGCATGGCCCCCACTCCCCAGTTTGAACCCAGTCCCCTCCCAGCCCTGGCCCCAAACCTCAGTCCACCAACTGACCCTGGCTTTGACTCACTCCAAGAGCAGACTCAGCGGGAGCACATACTGCTGCAGTCGGACGACACCCTCCAGGACCACCTGCGCGCCAAGGACGAGGAGCTGCGACGGCGCTGGAACATGTACCAAATGGAGACAATTTTCGGCAAGGTCAAGGACGCCACCGGCGTAGCAGAAACGCACGTGAGTGCTGCGGTAGCCCCCTCCCTCCCCAGACCGACCCCAGCCGCGTCCCGGGGAGGGAGACCGCCACACTCCGCCTCCCCTCTCGCCGGCCTAGGCTTCTGCGCACGCACTTGCTCTCTTCATGAGAGACACCCCTTTCCCCTCAGCTACCGGCCGACCGGAGAAACTGCTGCCCTTTACACAAGACCCACAGGACTGCCTGCACCGCTTCCTCTCCTCCTGTCTTACCCCTGCGCTGACTTCTTTGGCCTGCCCCCTGGGGGAGGACTCGTCTTGTCCTCTCACATTTTACAGTTGTCCTCTTTGAAAAATTTCTTCTTATTCTTCCTTTTTTTTGATACCAGGAATTGAACCCAGGGACACTTAATCACTGAGCCACATCCCCAACCCTTTTTAAATATATTTTATTTAGAGATAGGATCTTGCTAAGTTGCTGAAGCTGGATTTTTCTTTTAATACTTTTTTTTTAGTTGCAGACGGACACAATATCTTTATTTTTATTTGTTTATTTTTATCGAATCCAGGGCCTCACACATGCGAGGCAAGGGCTTTACCACTGAGTTACAACCCCAGCTCCCTGAGGCTGGCTTTGAACTCTCAATCCTTCTGCCTCAGCCTCCCAAACCACAGGGATTTCAGGCGTGTGCCACCGTGCCTGGCTTGAAAAAATTTCAAGGCTCCTGTGTCCCCTTAAAGTGCCTGGTTTCCACTGAGGAACACTAGTCTGTACCTTTTGGGTTCTCTGTGACCTTGCCGCTGCTCCCAAGGAGTTGATCCCCAGGAGGCCCTGAACTCCCAAATATGGGATCATCTGGGGCACCAAGGCAAAGCCCTTTTCAGAAGTGGGTCCAGTGAGCGGATGGCTCCCCAGACGCCGGTATTACTAGTGAGAATGGATGAGATTCCCTGCCAGAAGTTGCTGGCACGTTAATTTTGGAAAGCAGCTATGCTCACCGCTGCTCTGTCCCCCACTCTATATCGATTTTGGCCAGCTCAAATGTAGACAGGGGCGCAAGAAAGATGATTTGTCCGGGATTTTGTACACTCTTGAGTCCGACCCACACTGCCCCCATACATCAGTTTGCAGAAGCCACCAGCTTAGACCACTTATCCTGTGTGGTGGGGAGGAAGGAGAGGAGACGGAGCAGGCCTGTGCCTCCCTAGGCTCTGACTGGGGCTGGGTGGTCCGCAGTCCGTGGTGCGGCGGTTTGTGGCCCAGGGCGACACCTTCGCTCAGTTGGAGGCTCTTAAGAGTGAGAACCAACAGACGCTGATGAGGCTAAAGGAAGAGAAGCAGCGGTTACAGAAGGAGCTCGAAGACCTCAAGTACTCTGGGGAGGCCATGATGGTGAGGTGAGGCCAGGGTGCTCAAGGGAGGCCGGAGGGAGGGCGGGGTCGGCAGTGCTCGGGTGGTGACTTCTCCTCCCCTCCCTGCAGCCAGCAGAAGATGCAAACTGAGATGCAGGAGAACCTCAAGATGGAAGGGCAGCGACATGCTGACGCACAGGATCAGCTGGAGCGCACCTTGAGGGCGATGCAGACGACTAAGGAAAACCTTGAGCACCTGGCGAGCAAGCTGAATCACGTCAAAGTGGTAGGCCCCGCCCTCGAACGGTTCAGAGCCTCTTAGGACTTTAGAGGTTCAGTCAAGCTTGGGGGTACCGCCGCCTAGGCCCAGGGAACCCAGGATGTCAAGAGCTCCGCCTACAGGAAAGCCCCTCCCCACTCATCGGAGTCCCCGCCCCATATCCCTGGTAAAGCCCTCTCTACCCCCAAGAGGCCTAGGATTTTAGATACCTTGACCTGCCTCAAGCTCCGCTCCCCATGGGAAAGGCCTACTCTTCCTCCACCCCAAACCTCAGAGACCCTCCTCCAATCCTGGAGCGGCCTGAGACAGGAGAAGCCCCACCCTATCGTTGCACAAGTCCATTTTTTCAGAAGGTCGCTACTGCCTTCCTGGCGTTTCTTCTACCCTTCACCAAGAGGCCTCCCCGCACCCTTTTTATGCCTCTGGCGTTCAGAGACCCGCCCTCAAGGCGTGGCCTTTGATTTCAGAGTCCGGGCGCCTTGGGTAAGCACCAGCCCAGGGGGTGGCTCCTCCCCTCTGCAGCCCAGTCTCTGAGGGAAAACCCCAGCTTGGTGGCCCAGCCCTCAGAGGCCCAGCCTCTTGCAACTGACCTGGCTCTCGCTGGCCGCAGGAGAACGGCCGCTTTGCGGGAAAGGAATTAGATCCCAACGCTGGGGACTATCTGCAGAACCTGCTGGGCCTCGTGGAGGAAAAGTTGCTGAAACTGCAGGCACAGCTCGAGAGCCACGATGTGCCGGAGATGCGGCGTCACATCGCCGACCGCGAGGTGCCCCTGAAGCCACGGGGCAGGACCCAGGAGACCCTGGGGCTGAGGGGGCGGGGCAGCCTTTAGGAGGCCAAGTTGGAGAAGCTCAGGAGCTGGAAAGGGGTCTTAGGGACAACGGTTTTGGTGTGTGGAGTGAGCCTTTTACAAAAGGGAGAGGAGCCGAAAGAGCTGCAGTGGGTCTCGCGAAGCCAGAGGGCGAGACTGGGGGATTCAGGGTGGGCATCCAGAGACTTAGGGGCAGGGTCCCAAGACCCGCGGTGGGCCTGAGTGACAAGTGGGTGCAGCTGGGCATCGGAGTGTCTGGTGAGAATGAGGGACGCAGCCGGGCTGGAGGAAAACTAAATAGGAGTGGGTAGTGGTCTCGAATCGGCATGGAGGAGGGGAGAGGAACTTCTCTGGGGCCCCAGCCTCGCCCTCACCTCCTCCTCTACCCCCTCCACTTAGTTCTATGCCACCTTAGAAGGAAAGCTGCCCCAGTACAACACTCGCATCCCCCTGCACCTTGCCAGTTCCAAGGACAAGTTCTTCGGTCAGTGCTGGCGGGAAAAGGGGGTGGGGTTTGGAGCGGCCAGAGGTGGTCTGAGCATGGGCTCAGGTCCAAGGTGGAGGTGGGTAGGGTGGTGATGGCTGGGGAGGAAAGTCTGATTTGAGCTTGGGGAGCCGCATCGCCCCATCGCCCCGTGCCCTCGCAGACGAAGAGGAGAGTGAGGAGGAGGACAGCATAGTGGTGAGCCGCGCTTCACTCAAGATCCGCTCCCAGAAATTAATCGAAACCCGCAGCAAGAAGCGCAGCCGCTCGCGGAGGTCCTAGATTCGCATCTTGCCCATCTGGAGCCTCCATTCCCCTTCAGAGCCCCCGACTCCTCTGGGTCCAGTCACGGGTCCATGGGGCCCCTTCAAGGGCTGGATGAGGCCCGGACGGGGAGCTTAGCAGGCCAGTAGCAGCCCGGAGGAGAGGGGGCCGGACTAGATGTTCCCACAGTAAATCTCCCGAGGTGGGTCAGCGCTGGCCTCAGAATCGCGTAATAAAGGTCACTGACCAGCCTCCTGGGTATTCACCTCTTCTTGACCCCCTGCACGACTGAAAAGACATCGTCCCATAAACGGGCCGCAGACAGCCCCTTCCTTCCAACCTGGGGCATGATGACTCCTATCAGCTGATGCATAAAGTCACGAGGGATACCCCCACACCTGGGGCGGAGCAGCCCTACCACTTGAGGACAGAGGACTCGGCCTGGGGACACATACCTGCCCTCCCTTAGCTATACACAACTTCAGCTCTCCACACCTGAGGATAGAGAAAAAAGCCCTCCCTCGGGGACAGACGTGCCCTCTCCTGAGGCAGATTGATAGACGCCCACTGGTAGAACAGGGGTCTCCGAGGTGGGCCTGGGCATTGCGGTCGCGCGGGGGGCCACCAGAGTCCCGGGTCAGCCCGCCCAAGCGAGACCGGCCGCCCCGCCCCGCCCGCCCCGCCTGCCCCAGAGCTCAGCCACTGCCCGCCGGCCCTTCCGCCTCACTCAGCGGCGCCGCAGAGCAGGACGGGTGTGGGCCATGGAGCGGTCGGCGGGCAAGGAGCTCGCCCTGGTAAGGGGGTTGGGGATCTCGGAACCTCACAACCCGGTGACCCGCCCCCGGTCCAAAAACTTAAGGTTCCCACCCCTAGGACTCAAATCGGATCTGCCTCGGGTCCCCACTTCGGGACTCAGGGCTCTTAACCCAGTGAAGTGGCTGGTTCATGGGCGGGGGTCTTTGGGTGCATCTGAGGGAGAGATCAGAAGCATCCATGAGACTGAACCCTAGGACTCCACAAATGCCACCCCACCCCTTCAGAACCTGGGAGGAGTACCCAGGGCGGGAGGGCACTACCTGGGACCTGCCCTGCCGAGTCTTGTAGACCCCCGCGGGAAGCGGGAACCTCCCAGGAAGGCCCGGCTTGAGTTCCAACGGCTAACTTGAGCCGTGGCCCCGGGACTGTCCTGAGCCCGCCTCCCGTCCAGGCGCCGTTGCAGGACTGGGGTGAGGAGACCGAGGACGGCGCGGTGTACAGTGTCTCCCTGCGCAGGCAGCGCAGTCAGCGCCGGAGCCCGGGGGAGGGTCCTGGGGGCAGCCAGGTGAGGAAGGGGCTGGGGGGTCGGGGGCAAGAGGCGACCAGGTGAGGGCGGGTTGAGCGGAGAGACCTGGGAGTGACCGGGTGAGGGAGAAGCTGGAGAGCAAAGCTTGGGCCGCCAGGAGCAGTGGGGCTCGAAGGAAAGGCGGAGCTTAAAAGTGACCAGGTGAGGGTAGAAGGGTACCGGGGGCGGCTTGGTGAGTGGGGGTAGATCCAGGAAATAGTGAGGCCGGGCGATGGCGCGTTCCTGAGCGGGACCTGGGGTAACCAGGTAAGGGCAGAACTGGACAGACGGCTCTAGGGAAGTCGGGTTTAGTGGGTCAGAGCAGGAAAGAGCGGTGAAGTTTGGAAGCAGCCAGGTGAGGGTAGGTGGGGCCTCAGCACAGCCGGTGGAGCGTGACTGGAGGGCCACAGAAGCCCAGGGTTGGCAAAGTGAGGGACCGAGGTCAGAGCTGAGGAGGACAAAGATGCCTGGAACCGGTTGCTGGAGAGTCCTTTGTGGACAAAGCAAAATAATAAATCAGAAACATTCAGATTCAGAGGAATAGACAAGATCAGATGGAGTGGCTAGTGATGGCCGTGAATGAAAAGGGGCGTGGGGGGCTCTCCTGGTCTCTCACTGCCGTCCCTCCCTGCCCCCCGCAGACCCCCACTCCCACTGCCGATACCTTCCTCCACTACCGCACCAGCAAGGTGCGGGCGCTGAGGGCCGCTCGGCTGGAGAGGCTGGTGAGCGAGCTGGTGTCAGGAGACCGCGAGCAGGACCCAGGCTTTGTGCCTGCTTTCCTGGCCACCCACAGGGCCTTTGTGCCCACTGCCCGAGTGCTGGAATATCTGTTGCCACCACCGCCGCCCCCGCCCCCACCTTCCAGGTCAGTGGCCCTCAGAAACCTGCAGGTTCTCATCCCCAGATTCCCACCTGGGCTCCTTCCCCCACCTCCCCAGGTTTGGAACCAGGAAACACTCCCCACCCCAGAGCCCTCCTTCTAAGCACCCTCTGGCGCCCCCCTTTCATCTGATGAGGGCTTCTTCCCAGGGTAGAGAACAAGAAGACGGAAGGACAAGATCTGAGCTTCAATAAGAACTTGAGGTTGGCCGCCCTGAAAGGTGGGGGATGAGTGGGGTGGAGGGAGGAAAGGATTTCCGAGGTCAATGGTCAGTCTTGAGGTCTGAGGGCTGGAGGCTTGGCTGACCTGAAAGGTTGGGAGCTCCCAAGCTCGGGGCCCAGCTCTGAGCCTGCTCCTCTGTCCAGGGCTGTGGTATCTGTGCTGGGCTCCTGGCTGCGGGACCACCCTCAGGATTTCTGTGACCCTCCTACCCACCCAGACCTGGGCAGTGTCCGACTTTTTCTGGGCTGGGCAGCCCCAGGGAGTGCTGAGGCCCGGGAAGCAGAGAAGCTTCTGGAGGATTTCTCAGAGGAGCCTGAGGGAAAGCAACAAGAAGAGGAGCTGCTTGTGACTTGGGCAGGTGAGGGGTTCTGGGTACCCGTTGTGCTCTGAGAAGGCAGTCCCATGCTGTCTGTCCTTCCGACTTCCTCCTCACTCTCAGAATCACAGATCTTGGGCAAGGTTTCTAAACCACCTTGAGCCTCAGTTCTCCCCTCTGTAAAATGAAGATCTTAACTCTTTATCAAAGAATTAGCATTTGCCTTTGCTCCCCCTCTATCCAAAGGTACTCTGCCCTTGGGCTAGGGACCTGGGTTCAAATCCCAGTTTTGTTATTTGCTGACTGTGTGATCATGGATAAATCACTTCACCTCTCTGAACTGAAAAGGGCTGGGGTGGTGATAACAGTGCTTATTTCATTAGGCTCTTTATTCATTCATTAAATATTCAGCCATTGGTTCTGGCCATGTAACCATGGACTAGGGCTCCCAATTCCTCAGGAAAGTTATTCAGTAAGAAAACAAACAATGGGGACTTGGCCAATAGTATTATTTTACTGATCCTTCATTATTAGATATCTACCACTTATAATAAAATGTCAACCATTAGTCATATTGATATTTTATTGTCGACTAGGTGCCAGCAAGCTGTCTGGTCCTTTATAGGAAAAAAGTCGTTGACCACTGATATAGAACATTTTTGGAGTAGGGGAAAATATCTATAAACCCCACTCAGGTCTTTGTTGACGTGTCACCTCCTCACTCACAGTGGCTTTCTTTGGCCCTCTCCTAACAGACAACCCCTCCCAACCTGTGTGTCCACTTAGTCTTTCTTATATTTTTCTCTACAACACTCTTGACATCCCTCCCTGGATTCTAGCTTTTGTTCATTTCTGTGGCCTGTGAGCACAGGAGAGGAGGATCATATTAGTCTTGTCCTGACTCTGCCCCCAGGAGCAGGAATCACATGGATTAGTTGACAGAATAATTGTATCCTGCTTACAGAGTATCAGCTTTCACCCATCTGTGTTTGATCTGATCCTTATCACAAAAGCTTCTATCTCCTTAATCCTTATCCTTTAATCCCAAGATTAAAGTGGCCACATTCCTCTCTGCTTTCCAAAGTGGCAGCCACTTTCTCTATCCCTGGTGACAAAGTCTCAGTTGTTAATATATTTGCACCCCGCTCCTTCCCTCCCTTGCCTTCAAGGTTTAATCAGTGAATCTCAAGTCTTTAGAATCACATAGTCCAATACGGTAGTTAGTAGTTACTACCCTTTGTGGCTATTTAAGTTAATCAAAATTAAATTTGTTAATTTTTTAAAATAAAAATTTACTTTTGCCATTATGCTGGTCACATTTCAAAAGCTTGGTAACCACACTGAAGTGTTCAGGTAGAGCACATGTTGACCATGGCAGAAAATTCTATCTGCTGTAGTGGGACATGGTGCACACCTGCAATCCCAGCTACTGGAGAGGCGGAGACAGGAGGATCGCAAATTTGAGGCCAGCCTCAGCAATTTAGTGAGAATTCATCTCAAAATAAAAATTTAAAAAAGGGCCTGGGGTGGAGCTGAGTGGTGGAACACTTGCCTAACATGGGGGGAAATCCTGTGTTCTATCTCCATTACTGCAAGTAAACACAAAATCAACATTTTTAAAAAGCAGGGCTGTAAGCCCCTTGCGGTCAGAGGAGAAAAATGAACATTTATTGAATACCTAACATGTGCTAGTGTCTGAAACACATTTTTTTTGTAATTATTTTTAGTTGTAGATGAACAAAATACCTTTATTTTATTTATTTATTTTTATGTGGTACTGAGGATTGAATCCAGGGCCTCACATGTGCTAGGCAAGTGCTCTACCACTGAGCTATAACCCCAGCCATAACATCTTTATTTTGAGTTTACTTTTTCCTATGGAAAACTTCAGACATATACAAAAGTAGAGAGACCAGTATAAAAAACATTTAGTCACTTATTACTTAACTTCAACAATTTTCAATTAGACCAAAAAAAAAAAAAGAAAAGGATGTCTCAGACTTAATTACCTTGGGTATGCACTTGTAACTGATGAGGGCTTTTAAGACATAACCTTCATGCCCATAAACATTTCAAGAAATTCAGAAATACTTACCATATTTTAAGTCCATATTCAGATAACCTCATTGTTCCTAAATTGTCTGTTTTACAATGTTCTGTTCTTCAAATTGGAATGCAAAGAAATTCTACTCAAGGAATTTGACTGTTTCTTTCCCAGGTCTCCACTATTCTATAACAGTTCTCCCCTTCCCTTGCCTTTTCTTGGATGCTGTGTGTGTGTGTGTGTGGGGGGGGGTCATTTGTCCTAAGGTGTGTCTCACATTCTTCTCGGTTCACGTGCCGGCTTCCCATGGTGCCATGCAGGTGTTCCTCTGTTCCCCCTCATTGCTCAAAAATCTAAACATTAGATTAGGTTTAGGTGCAATTTCCCCCCCAACTCTCACAAAAATTAAAGTTTTGTAATGCTACATGTCTAATTTGAAATGAAAGAGATAATTAAGCAAAGATAATTTTAGGACAATATGATAGTATCATATGAAGGAGAAATAATGAAAGTCACTTATACAATAATAACAGGTTTTGATGGGTTTTTTTTTTGTTGTTGTTGTTTGTTTTCACCAGGAATTGAACCCAGGGTGCTTAACCACAGATCCATACCCCAGACCTTTTTGGTATTTTACTTAGAGATAGGGTCTTGCTGAGTTGCTTAGGGCCTCAGTAAATTGCTGAAGCTGGCTTTGAACTTTCGATCCTCCTGCCTCAAGCAGAGCTGCTGGGATTACAGGTGTGCAACACCAGGCTTGGCATACAGATGTTTTTGGTGTACTAATGCCTTGGCATGACTCACTTGGACACATGATGAGGGTGTCCAGTGACTTTGCCTGTAGTAGTATCACAGTGAAGGTGACAGCCACAAACACCAACTAGTGCCAGAGAGTGCACTGACAATGCAAAGACAGCTACATAGACAATGGTGACATTGCTTTCCAAATGGTGAATAATACTTGCAATTTCCAAACAAACAAACAAAGTTCAGAATCTCAAGGTCCTTGCATCCTTGAAGCCAAAACAATTTGCTTATGAGCAAAACAATCAGATTCTAGATGCAAATTATAGTAAATAGATTTTTCCCATAATACAAATCTCTGGAGGGCCATTGGCTTTGGGGTGGCTAAATTAGCTATGCAGTCATTCTTCCAGGAAGCAAGATCTTTTCCTCAAAATGTCCCCTAGGGGGCGCCACCATTGAAACCCACCACAGAAAAATCATTCAGGTTTATGGAATACTTTATAGCAGTCTGGTATGCATAACTCATTTGCTCTTTTAAAACAATTCAGATAAAGAAGTTAAGGCACAAAGAGATTAAAAGGCATGTTTTATCTTTTTTTTTTTTAAAGAGAGAGGAAGAGAGAAGGAGAATTTTTTTTTAATATTTATTTTTTAGTATTTGGTGGACACAACATCTTTGTTTGTATGTGGTGCTGAGGATCAAACCCAGGTGGCATGCATGCCAGGCGAGCACGCTACCGCTTGAGCCACATCCCCAGCCCGGCATGTTTATCTTGATTTGCACAGCAAGGCTGGTGGACAAGCCTGGGTTTGAATTTGGAACTTTTTTCTTTGTGGTGCTAGGGATGAATACCTGGGCTCTGCACATGCTAGACTCTACCACTGAGCTACACCCCATCCCTAAATTTGGAACTTTCTGACAACAACCTTCCCTCTCTCCAAAAGAGGACAGAAGAGTCTGATCTTAATACAACCTCCAAATCCTGCTTTCCACTTCAAATCTCTGTTCTGCCCTTTACTGAAGGTGTGACTTAGGGGCAAATTGTTCGGTGCCTCAGTTTCCCCACCTTAAATGGTGGATAAATTATAGCACTTCCTTCAATGCAGTTAGTGCCCTGAGCTAGCAAGTTAATTCATATGAGGTATTAATTTTTTAAAAAATACTTATTTTTTAGGTTTAAGTGGGCACAATATCTTTATTTCACATTTATGTGGTGCTGAGGATTGAACCCAGTACCTCATGCATACTAAGCGAGCACTCTACCACTGAGCCACAACCCCAGGCCCCCAGTGAGGTATTCATTATTGTTGCTATTACATCTTTTAAAATACTCAGGGAATTCACCCTATAGATGAGGGAGGTGAGGTTGAGCATAAAAGGATTTGCCCAAGATCACACAGGCAACTCTGGGTTCAATTTGAGGGTTTTGATTCCCCTTCCCCCCACGGAACCCAGGGCACTTAACCACTGAGCCACATCCCCAGCCCTTTTGTTGTATTTTGTTTAGAGACAGGGTCTCACTGAGTTGCTTAGGCTTTGCTAAACTGCTGAGGCTGGCTTTGAACTTTCGATCATACTCCCTCAGCCTCCCAAGCTGCTGGGATCATAGGCCTGCACTTCCGTGCCTGGCCAAAGTGAGCATTTTAAACCACATATCATTCTCAGGACCTCCCAGGGCCCAGTCCCCCAGACCAGACTCTCCGGAGGGCTTCATGGAAGAGGAGGAAGGGCCGAGGCGGGAAGGTCCCGAGCTCCTGGACTTCAGTGTGGGCGAGGTGGCCGAGCAGCTGACCCTTATGGATGTGGTGAGGACTGCAGACCGTGGCAGGGTGGGGATGTAGAGGGGAGGCGGGTTGCCGAGCCCCTACCCTACGCGCCTTCCCCTGACCAGGAGCTCTTTTCACGGGTGCGTTCCTGCGAGTGCCTGGGCTCGGTGTGGTCGCAGCGGGACCGCCCCGGGGCCTCAGGCGTTGCCCCCACTGTGCGTGCCACTGTGGCCCAGTTCAATGCAGTGACCGGCTGTGTGCTGGGCTCTGTGCTCGGGGCGCCGGGACTGGCAGCCGCGCAGAGAGCCCAGCGGATCGAGAAGTGGATCCGCATAGCCCAGGTGTGTGCCGAGGGGCGGGAGAGAGTGAGATGGGTCAGGGGCACAGGGCGGGGCCAGGGCACCTGCGGGGGAAGGAGAGGAGTTGGGGTTAGAGATGGGAGGAGCTTGGGACGGCTGGGCTGAGAGGCTGAGAGTGGGGGTGATGGGGAGGGAAGAAGACTGGAGGCATCCTGAGGGAGCCTGGGCAGAGGTGAGGCCGGAGCCCGGAGCCTGAAGAAATGGGGGGGGGGGGGGGGGGACAGAGAGGGGCATGTGTCCAGGCGATGGGAGGGGAAGTAAGTTGATACCTGCGGTGACTGGTGACTTGGGTTCAGGGAGGAGGGTTCTAGGTCCAGAAGAGGGGCTGTTGACGCGTCTAGGACCCAGGGACCAGGAGAAGCCAAGTTCAGAGGGAGCAGCCGAGTCCGGAGAGGGAGGGGTCTCCCAGAGGAGAAGGAAGAGGCTTAGCTTGTCACGTGTGGGGCGAGACTTGGGGGTCTGACCTGAGGTCAGAAGTCACAAGATCAAAGGTGCCTGGTTCCTGGGAGTCAGACTAGGGACGTGACCAGCGCCCCCATCCCATTAGTGCTGCCGAGAACTGCGGAACTTCTCTTCTTTGCGAGCCATCCTGTCTGCCCTGCAGTCTAACCCCATCTATAGGCTCAAGCGCAGCTGGGGGGCTGTGAGCCGGTGAGCCTGGGTTGAGGGTGGGGGCCACCCCATCCCAGCTCTGACCTTCTCAGCTCCTGACCCCTGACCACCCCTCTCTGTCCTTCCAGGGAACCGTTATCCACTTTCAGGAAACTTTCACAGATTTTCTCGGATGAAAACAACCACCTCAGTAGCAGAGAGATTCTTTCCCAGGTACAGACAGACTGGAACCCAGTGAATCCCAGGCCCAGCAAGGGGACTTGGGACCAGGCAGGAGGCGTCGTCTTGTCCTTGTCACAATGTCCTTTCACTTGCATTTCAGCAGTGACAATTCTCCCGTCCATACTCAGCCTCACATTTTAATTTTCTCTGCTGTTTCCATTAGAGTTCGCACTGGGCCACAACCATATTTATTCATTCGACAATATCCAAGAAGTCATGAGGGAAGGTTACTGAAGGTCAAAGTCATAGCCAAGTGTGGAAAAAAAAATTGTTCTGGGGATTTACCTTGATAAGCAAGATTTTTAAATGTGGGCCAACAAGTTGGATTCGTTTTAGGCAAGAGTTAGGTTCTAATTACAACCAGGAGCTGGTTCTTAGAATCCAGATAGATGGAGTGTGAGGCCTGGAACCCTCAAGATAAGTGTGCGACTTGTTCACTCCTGCAGGTCTCAGTTTCCCCACGAGGCCCCCGCTGCGCCCCCTCATCTCCACATGCCCCTGCCTGCATTATTGCCCTTGTCCCTGTCCTGCTGTCATGGGATTGGCCTGGCTGCAGCTGTCCCTCCCTCCGTCTCCATCAGGACAGGAATTCTGTCTCTTTCATTCACTACGGTCTACTCAGCACCCAGGATGGTGAATGGCACTCAGTAGGTGCTCAATAAATGCCTTGTTAGTGAAGGCATATTCAAATAATGAGAGTTCAAGGGACAAGCCCTACCTAAGCATCTACTGTGTACCAGGTGCTATTCCTGCTGTGCCACCAACCAGGCATGATCACTGTCCCAGGAGCAGGGGGACTCCAGCCCTGGACAGGGAGATGCAGAATGCAGCACTGTCTACTCCAGTGACCGCATGAGGAGCAGGCAGAGCAATGATGAACCAAATTCCCAGTGGGCCTGTCCCATCCAGGCTGGGGACAAGGATTCCCTTCTGTGCCCGCCATCACCCCTGCTCTCCCTCTCTCTCCACGTGTACTTTCCCCGGGGTAGCCCCCTCCTTGGGTTGGCTTGAAAACTCGCTTGTGATTCTTGAAAGAAGGAGGGGTGTACATGGTGGGTCTTGAGGTGACCTCTCTGAGGAAGGGTCTAAGGGGATCCCAGGGCCACTCAGTCCTTCCCTCCCCCACAGGAGGAGGCCACTGAGGGAACCCAACAAGAGGACAACCCTCCAGGAAGCCTACCTTCAGTGAGTGTTCCAGTTTGGGATGGGGGTCGAGGGGGACCTGGGGAGGGCTGGGAGGTGATGGGGTCAGTGACGACGGCTAGTGACTAGAGCTTTGGGGGCAGCAGAAACTGCCCCCAGGTCCTGTTCCCTACCTTGGCACCTTTCTCACGGACCTGGTTATGCTGGACACAGCTCTGCCGGACATGTTGGAGGTCTGACCCTTGACCCTTGATCCCAGCTGCACTTACCCCACCCAGCACAGTAGGCCTCATACCACTCACCCTGGATCCTGCCTTGTACTCCTGACCCCAGCTCCCTTAGCACAGTGGAGCTCCTGACATCTTAGCTCTTGACCTTGACCCTTTAACCTTGACTCTGATGGCTCTAGTTCAAATAAACTTTGCCCCCAGGGGGATCTGATCAACTTTGAGAAGAGGAGGAAGGTGAGTGGCACTGGGCAGGATATAAGGAGGTGGCCTGAGGTGTGGGCAGGGGGGCAGGGTCTCAGCCACTGCCCCCTCAGGAATGGGAGATCCTGGCCCGCATCCAGCAGCTGCAGAGGCGCTGTCGGAGCTACAGCCTCAGCCCCCACCCACCTGTCCTGGCTGCCCTGCGTGCCCAGCGCCAGCTCAGCGAGGAGCAGAGGTGACCGCCCTGCGGCCTAGCCCAGCCCCACCCCAGCTGACCCTGGATCACACACAAGGTCCTGCTCACCCAGTGTACTTCCCTGGCTCCTTTCAAGACCCACATCTGAGCCTGGGTCCCAACCTGTGACCTCCAGCCTAGTTCAAGGGTCACCACTGACCTGTAATCCCACACTTGACCCCACCTGCCATTTTGACTTCCACCTGCAACAACTGTCCATCTGTCCTCTTCCCTACCTGATCCTATCTGATGATGAGTCCCTTTGTGACTTCTGCCATCTGAGTCTATGACCCTAATAACTGACCCCTGGTTCTGAGCGATGGACCTAGCCTGGATGTCTTCCTGACCACTAGACTCAACTGTCCCAATTGTTTCTCATTCTCTCAAATCCATGACCTTCACTGTGGTCCCAGTAATGACCTGGTCCTGAACTTTAGCCTTGACCCAATTCATCTTATTCTCACTCTGCAAATCCTTGTAGACCTGCCCCTCAAGCCATCCCACTCCATCCTAAAGAGCCCTAATCCCTCATTGACCTGCTTTCCTCCCTGACCCCGACGAACTCCCAGCTTCTCCCCCCCACACCCAAACTTGACCCCAACTGACGCTGACTCCTGTCTCCTCATCTCTCTCTGATGCCTGGACCCAACCCCCATCAACACACTGATCCCTCAGCTACCGAGTCTCCCGGGTCATCGAGCCACCAGCCGCGTCCTGTCCCACTTCCCCGCGTGTCCAGAGACGCATCAGCCTCACTAAACGTCTTAGTGCGTGAGTCTTGGGGGCTGCTGGGGGCGCATGGGCAGATACTGGGGGGCTGCTCCAGGGCTGAATCTGGCCTCAGCCTTACCCCCTGTCTCCATCCTCAGGAAGCTGTCCCGAGAGAAAAACTCGTCCCCTGGTAGCAGTCCTGGAGACCCCTCATCGCCCACCTCCAGGTGGGTACCCCAGTTAGAAGACAGCCTGGAGACAGCAGAGCCAGGGGTCAGGGCAGCTACCACCTCAGGCTCTGTGTCCCCCCAGTCTGTCTCCAGGGTCCCCCCCATCCAGCCCTAGATCTGAGGACTGTCGTCTTGGACCCCCTGCTTCTCCAGGGCCCCAGGGCCCCAGCAGCAAGGTACCACGCCTGCCTGTGTTTGCATGGAGGGCTGTGTGTGTGTGTGTGTGTGTGTAACACAGGAGTGTGGGACCCGTTGAGTTCTCAGGGGTCCATCCAAGAGACCGTGTGGGTCTCCATAGCCCCGTTTGATCGGTCACCCACCCCGTGGCACAGATCTGGAGGGAGCTCCTGCCCACCCGCAGGGCATTCTGCAGAATACTCACCCTCTTACTCAAGTGTGTCCTAGGAACCTGCACACCTGAAGGGAACTGGGCTGGACACTGTGGGCGGTGCTGTTCACTGGCATGGGCTTGCGGGTGTACAACAGGCGCGAGCGTGTGTGAACACATACTGCTTTCCTGTACACAGGATTTGCCTGTGAATGCGGGTCTGTGTGTATCTGGGTCATGTGCACATTTGTTTCTGTAACAGGGAGACGGGGTCTAGGTGTGATGGGCTGGCGCATATGTGGGCCTGCTTGTGTCCCCTAATTGTGTGTCCCTGACTCTGGGGGTGTGGAGGGACGTTTGATTGTGTGTGCTGGGGAATGTGACCCTGGGCCGATTGAATAGACCACTCGGGGAGGGGCCTTGTGGTCTCCCACCCATCAGCACTGCGGATGCCTCTGCCCACCCACTGCCTACAGCTGCCCCTGGGCCCGGACCTGTCCCTGACCAGTCCTCGCATCCCCCTCCCTGGGCAGCAGAGCTCGGAGGCCCGTGTGATTCGCATCAGCATTGACAACAACCATGGGAACCTCTATCGGAGCATCCTGGTGAGGGGCTGGGCTGGAGGCTTGCTGGGGACAGCCTGCCCTTGGGGCTGGGGCCCTCCCACCTCACCTCCTGCCCCCCTCTTCCAGCTTACTAGTCAGGACAAAACCCCCAGTGTCGTGCAGCGAGCCCTACAGAAGCACAATGTGTCCCAGCCCTGGGCCCGTGACTACCAGCTCTTCCAAGTCCTTCCTGGGGACAGGGGTGAGCAGGGACAGCTGGGAGCACCAGACTGGGAGGCAGGTGGGAAAGTAGCGGTCTGGCCAGGGCCAAGGCTGGAGCCCAGCGTTACCTGGGCTCACAGGGCCACAAGGTGTTTTAGGCACAGTTAGGGGTAAGATGGAGCAGGGTGGGGAGAGGAGGAGGAAGATATCCCGTGGGTTCAGGTAACATTGTATTATTTCCCACCCTCACGCGGAGCCAGGTAGGAGGTTGTCCTGGTCTGGTGTGATGGAGGGGGCACTGAAGTTTGGCTTCCTAGAATTTATGAGCCAATGAGATTGTCCTGGTCAAATGCAAGGAGGGACTAGAAGTTTGTGTAACCTTAAATTTGTAGGATCATGAGTTTTTTGGGGGGGCTCAACCTGGAGGGGCAGAAGATGACGGGGTGTCTGAGCTTAGATACAGGAGGAAACGAGGTTGTTGAGGCTCACCCTGGGGACCCTGGAGATGCCTGAACTTGGAAGAGGAGACAGCCACATGCTCTTGAACCCAAGGCAGAGAGCATGAGGTTGTTCAGTGTGGAGGCAGGTCAGAGGCTGTCTAGTCTTGGACAAGGAGAGACAAGAGTCATGGCGGAAGGGTGGCTGGACATTGGGAAAGAATGTATGAAACTGCAAAGGCCATGAACTCTAGCAGATGGGAAGTAGCAAGTCACCCAAGTTCATGGTGCCCGCAGCCTGAACTTGGCTGGGAAGTGGTAGGGGGAGGGGGAGGTGTGCGGGGAGTTGTGGTGTGAGCACTTTAGACCCCACTGCAGGAATGGGCAGGAGGTGGCCCAGGCGCTGGGGAGTTGTCACTGTCCCCAATGAGAAGAGAATGAGGTTGGGTCAGCACTAGCTGGAGGGACCCAAGGCTGTTGAGGCTCTAGAACAAATGATAGAAAGTCGCCCAGGTCCTTTGTGAACCCACCACCATCTCCATGCCTGGCCAGAGCTCCTGATTCCTGACAATGCCAACGTCTTCTACGCAATGAGTCCAGCTGTCCCTGGGGACTTCGTGCTACGGCAGAAGGAGGGGACCCGGCACACACCTTCTGCCTCCACAAGCTGAGGTGGCACTCTCCTCCCTCCAGGTCACAGGCCCCTTGGGCAACTTGGGACCTGGCTTCTACAGCCATGGGGGCCGGGAACCCCTCTCCTGGAAAGCCTCTGTCCCCTAGTGAGGCTCTGTATTTTCTGGTAACCCCGCCTCAACTTCAGCCCATCAGCCCCTGCCCCTCTGACCTCTGAGTCCTGGACCCTCATTCCCGTGATGTTAGCACGCAGGGTGGCCATGATGGTGACAAAAAGGCAGAGAAAACCGAGAACCCTGAGAAAGGCACTGATAGTTACTGTGGATGCCAGAGTGGACCCTGCTGCACATGGAGGGAGGGTGTAGGGGCACTCCCCGACTTTTGGAGGGCAATGTCTTTCCTGATGTGTATATAGGAGAGTGAAGATTTGAAATTGCATCAGAAACAGAAAGAAATCACCCTATCAGAAGTCAATAAGGGCCGTGAAGACAGAAAAAGCACGTGAGCTCTCACTGCCCGTAGGAAGAAGAAACCAGTGGAGAAAGCAGACCAGGAGCCGAGCGGCCACTGCAAAGTAGTGATGACCATTCGTAGTAATAATATTAACATGCCCACCACGGGCTTCTAGTCTGAGCTGGACATCCACTAAGCGCTTTATATCTCACTGTATTAATCAGAGTTTTTTTTGCTTTAAGTAGTTGAAATCCTATTCAAATAGGTATGTACCAAAAAGAAAATTGATAGCTCATATAATTGAGAAGGCAACTGGGTCTGGCTTCAGGCACAGTTGGATCCAGGGACTCAAAAGATATCAGAATTTTATTGCTGTGTGTTGGCTGTGGTTTTCTCTGAGAATGAGACTGTCTGTTATCCCCCAAAATCCAATTACCCTTTTCTATAGTAATAGAGTCACTGACTTTTTAGCTAGCCATTCTAGTTAAAGCTGCATTTCCTAAATCCCTGCAGCAAGTGTGGCCATATAAGATATAAAAGGAAAGAAGAAGGGGTATATATCTCCCTCTCCCTCCTTTTTCTGCTGGTTGGAATGAAGATGTGGAGTGGATCATCTTGGATTGAGTGGCCCATGTCCTCTGAATGACTGAGCAACCAGCTGGAAGGAGCCTGGGTCTCTGCGACCTTGGAGCTGCCATTTTAGGATGCTGCCACTGGACTGTCACATAGGAGAGAAATAAATTTCTATCTTTCTTAAGCCTTTATTATTTGGTTCTCTGTTACAGTCGCTAAAAGAACAATTAGTATAGCCCTACTCCAAGGCAGGCTCACATCCCACCAGTGCTACCGACACCGGTTCTGGGAAATCAGGATTGGGTTTCATTCCCCTGGTGTGGAGACTGAACACCGAGAAATGCCAAGGCAAGAGCAAAAAGTTTTGTTTAAAGGGTAGAGGGGGAGAGAGAGGGGAAGAAGAGGAGGAGGAGGAGGAGGAGGAGGAGGAGGAGGAGGGAAGAAAAGAGAAGAGAAGGGAGATTCCTCTGTAGAGGAGGGGACCCAAGGCTGGTGCCCGAGGGAGGGGGTGTCCTGTCCTCTGTAGATTTCAGATTTCCTTTCTTCTCATGCCCCCCCTCCTCTATTTTGCCTACTTGACGGAAAGGTGCAGTGACCCAGAGCAGGAAAGGAGCCATTTAGAGGTACCGACAGGAAGGGAGTCACCCAGGAAGTGCTCATTAACAACTCCTTGAGGAGAGGAACAGAACCTGGAGGCAGGTGGCCTTGGCAACAGATTGGAGGAGGGGAACGGGCTCTGGAGGTATTAGCATTTTGTTTCCTTTTGAATCAGCTCTCATTTTCCTGACTCAGTCGATCCTTGCCTAACTGACTGGCCTTTTGCCCTGGTCTGAGGGCCCTCCTCTGCCAACAGAGCTCCTCCTTCCCATAGTGACCACAGCAAAAATCTCAGAGCAAGTTCCCACTGGACCATCTTGGGTCACATGTCTATCCCTGAACCAAATGCTGATTGGCCAGATTGGGGTCCTGTGCCCACCCCCTGAGCTGGCACAGAAAATTCAAATCACAGGGGGGGTGTCTTGGTGGGCACACACATGGAAGTGAAATTCAGGTGCTGTATGAGGAGGAGGAGGAGAAATTCTAGTGAATGGGCTTAAAACAGTTCCTACGGTTCTTTCTTTCTCTTTTTCTTTCTTTCTCTTTTTCTTTCTTTCTCATCCCAGCCCCAGTCCCTATGGTTCTAACCTTGTCCCTGGAGAAATAGCAAGGAAAGCCCAGGCACCATCAGGAGTAAGAGAGGGGATAGAAGAAGCTAACCTTCATGTAAGGTCTGATGGAACACTGGTTACAGTACACATCATGCTACTTTTCACAGTTGTTTTTCTTCTGTGAGTATAAAGACCTGAAGACCATTTGAATATAACAGCATCCTATTTGAACTAACCCAAGCAACTAATAATTGCTATCCCCACTGTGTGCTCACTGTGTGCCAAGTTTTAAGAATTTCACTTAGCCAGGCTCCTGGCGCACACCTGTAATCCCAGCAGTTCAGGAGGCTAAGGTGGAAGGATCAAAAGTTCAAAGCCAGCCTCAGCAATTTAGCGAGGCCCTAAGCAATTTAGTGAGACCTTGTCTCAAAAGAAAAAAGTAAAAAGTTCTGGGGATGTGGCTCAGTGGGAAAGCGCCCCTAGGTTCAATCTCTGGTATCCAAAAAAAAAAGGAAAAAGAAAAGAAAAATAATCTAATTTAATTCTCACCATACCCCTAAGGACTGAGCACTGTATTATCTCCGTTTTATACATGAAGAACTGAGACTAGCAAAAGTAAGTGGCTGGGCTGGGATTGTGGCTCAGTGGTAGAGCACTCGCCTAGCACGGGCGGGACCCGGGTTCGATTCTCAGCACCACAAAAAATTAAAGGCATTGTGTTGTGTCCATCTACAAAAAAAAAAAAAAAAAAGGTAAGTGGCTGGTGTTCAAACCAGAATAATATAACACCAGAAGAAATGTACTTAACCACAAGGCCAGTTTACCACTTTTATTTACAACTGAGTGTCTCTCTGTCTCTGTCTCCCTCCAGATGCCAGTTACCTAAAGAAAACATCCTCACTGATCTGTGTGTTTACTGGGGGTGGAACCCAGGGCCTGGTACACATTATGCAAGTGCTGTATCACCAAGTTACACCCCCAGCCCCAACTTCTGTGGTTTCCTTCCTTCCTTCCTTCCTTCCTTCCTTCCTTCCTTCCTTCCTTCCTTCCTGTTTCTTTCTTGGTGCCGGGTACTCAGGAATAGTTGTACGGGCTACACAAGATCCACTGTTTGTCTGTATCTCTTAGCTTGGTTCTCTCTATTTATGGGGGGCGCGGGCTACTGGGAATTGAACCCAAGGGCACTTTACCACTGAGCTACATCCACTGCTCTTTTTTATTTCAGAGTCTGTTCAGGGTCTGCTAAGTTGCTTAGGGCCTCTCTAAACTTCTGAGGCTGGCCTCAAACTTGCAACCCTCCTGCCTCAGCCTCCTGAGCTGCTGGGGTTACAGGCATCCGACGGGCTCTCCCCTAATCTTTTACACCATAAATACTTTTACTATGTGCCAGACTCTGTTCTCAGTGGTGGGACTACAGTAATCAAGAAAAGGGTCAAATGTCCCTGCCCCCATAGACTCAATAACAAAACATTAAACATATATCAGGTGACAAGCACAGTAGTAGCCAAAAAGGAAAAAAAAAAAAAGTTGTTTAAAGGTGAAGGAGGTATGTGGGGGAGGTGATCAGAGAAGGCTTCACTGAGGAGGCAGGTGCGGGGAGAGGTCTGAATAAGGTGAGGGAGAGAGCTCGGTTAATATCTAGGGGAAAAGCCTTCCAGGGAGAGGGAAGGAACAGCACACAGCTCATATCAACTTTACCATCTGGTTATTTCTTCCTTCCTACTGGCAAAGATGCCTCTCTGGTTACACCACAACATCTACAAGAAAAGGGAGCCTCTTTTCCCAGCAAATCCAGCTGAAATCTCAGGATGGAAGCTTAGACTGTCTTGGTTAACAAGCCCACCCTGAACCAATCACTGAGTGTCAGGGAATGGTGTACTCTGATTGGCTAGTCTGGGGTAGGAAAGCTCAATGGTTACCCCCTCCCTTCTGTAGGTGTGCACCTCTGTGCAGGTATGTACCCCAGTTTGAGAAATTCAGTCCTAGTGAATGGATTTGATGATTTATAATATAATTATTTTCCAGATTATTAAAAGAACCATATAAAATAAAATACCAAGTGTATAAAAATGTAAGGGGCTGGGGTTGTGACTCAGCGGTAGAGCACTCGCCTAGCACATGCGAGGCCCTGGGTTCGATCCTCAGCACCACATAAAAATAAATAAATAAATAAAGGTATTGTGTCCAACTACAGCTAAAAAATAAATATTAAAAAAAAATGTGGGGCTGGGTTTGTGGCTCAGTGGTAGAACACTCACCTAGTATGCATGAGGCATTGAGTTCAATCCTCAGCACAACATAACTATAAAATAAAGATATTGTGTCAACCTAAAACTAAAAAAGAATATTTTTAAAAAGTAAGCATTTCCCCCCACAAAATCATAAATGAAGTCTCACTCCAGAATATGTGTAACTTTACAAATGAAGGACCACGTTGTACCTTCCTCGCAGCAGCACTGCCTAGCCCTGCTCCTCTACTCAATTGCTAGTCGTTATGATGATTGTTCTTATTTCCAGTCTGGGGAGAAGTGCTGATCAGCAGGATAATATCAGTAGCTTACATTTTTTAAATGCTTGCTACGAATCAGGCTAGGTTTTACAGATGAGAAGAATGAAGATCGGGTAAGGTAAGTTACTTGTCTAGGGTCACATAGTCACACAAAGTGTGTCCGATGTTGCTTTTGGAGCTGTCCTTGGCCTCCAAGGGGCCACTGGTCCCAGGAGGGCCCCTGCCCCCTCCCGGCGGGTGCTTATCTCTGCCCAGGCTGCGTGCTGGTCCCGCCCCTTTGGGGGAGCTGCCTCTTGGAGGCTTCTGGCCGGGAAGAGCCTGCCTGGTCAGCTGTGTCCGGTGGAGGCAGCTGCGGAACCCAGCTGTGGACTGTGCCAGGGGCTGGTCCTCGGGGCAGGAGCCCTGGGCTCCCCGGGGCCGGGTGGAACCATGGGCCACCTCAGGGCTCCCCTTTGGCCCCGGGTCAGTCCTCTCTTTCTCCTGCTTGCTGAAGCAGCTTTGGCGCCCCCACTCAACCTGCCTAACCCCAAGCTTGAGAGCAAAGGTAAGAATGGAGTCTGTGTGGACCCCTACCCTGAGTCCTGGAGGGCAATGCTGGGGCCTGAATTCCCACTCTGGGTCCTGGGGGCCATACTAGGTTCTGTACCTTCAGACTGGATCCTGGGGAGCAAGCTAGTGTCTGAATCCCCAGACCCGGTCCCAATGAAGCATGCTGGGGTCTAAGTCCCCAGGATGGGTCTTGGGGAAGAAGTTAAGAGAGGGGCATAAGATTCTTATTTTAGGGCTGGGGATGGAGCTCAGTGGTAGAGTACTTGCCTCCCATGTGTGAGGCACTGGGCTGATCCTCAGCACCACAGAAAAATAAATAGATACTTTGTG